AATGGCAAGACAAAAAATAACTATAAATTTTAATGGTAATTACGGAACTTGCAAAAAAAAAAATAAAAAATTATGGTATATTATTATAAGTAACAATAAATATAAGATATAAAAATAATGAAAAATACAATTAATCAAAAATAATAAATTTTAAACATTCTTTAATAAAAGCCTCTCACTAGCAAGTAAAGCACATCTCTTCACTATCTTTTTGTGGAGAAAAAAATTTTTCATTACGTTAGCGCTACCGCTGTTGTAAGCCCTTGTTATCAAGATGCTATCGGCCCGAGTTCTTTCCGTAAGCTCTCGTTCACTACCGTAGGATTGAAAAGGAGGGAAAGAGAGTTGTGGGTAGTTTGCCCTTTCACATCCAAATACAATCGGCCCCAAAAATGTGCTCTAGGCCATTGTAGCTACCAAACTCTTTGCCTGCCTGCAGCTGAGCAGGCAGCCCAGGGCGCACCACGTGGAGGTGGTCTGGTTGCGCGCCCCTGCTGAATATAACTTTCCGGCGCGCCAAGCAAATGAATGCTTTAGCGAATTTCCCCATAAAGGCCGCCATCAGGTGGTATTTTAATCTCATTTCTGATTGTGAGCCATTGAGTTGTCCTTTGGAGCATACGCCGTTCATAATCGTAATACATGGCGGTTTGTGTTCTACAACAGGCTCCATCAGCCAGCCCCTGCGGGAAGTTACTATTGCAGTCGCTGTTATAGATATACTCCGCTATCGTTAATTATGCTACTCTGTATACGCCATGAATGGGCCCTGCAGGCTCACCCAGATGAGATAAAATACCACGCCAAAAAGCGTGCTCTTTCTGCCGCAGTTAAAGACTTATCTCTTAGTGCAAACTGCTAAGACCGACACCAGTGCCATTTTATTGTTTCTTTTACTTTCTTATCTCTGTCTTCTTCCAAGGGGTGGGAAGTGGAAGAGTTGGAATAGCTGGACACAGAACACGAAAGCCGCCATAAAACGGTATTTTAATTGTGTTACGAGCTGTGAGCCATTTTATTCGCTGTTAAGTACATACGCCGTTCAAAATCATAATACGTGGCAGTTGTGTTCTAAGATAGGCTCCAGAGGTCATTCCCGGACAATTACCGCTGTAGTCGCTATCATAGGTTACACCACGATTGTTGATTATGCTTCTCTGTAAGCACTGTAATAGGCTCATGCATGCTCACCGTAATTGATTAAGATATCGTCAGAAGTGTGCGGCAAAGCGGCTGCGATGTCATACGCTCCCTTGGATTCACTGCCACCACCTATTTGGATCTTTGGACAAGAAAGAGGGAAATAAACCTCAAAATGCCTCTGGTTCTAGCCGTTAGAGCCGTACCAGTACGATGTTTTAATTCCGTTACGAGTTATGAGCCGTTTAGTGGCCTTTTGGAGCATACGCCGTTCAATGTCGTAATGCGTGGCAGATGTATCCTACGACGGACTTCAGTGATAATTCTCTGTAGTCGCTATCGTAGTTCACTGCACGATTGTTGATAATGCTACTCTGTATGCGCCGTAGAAGGCTCCTGCAGGTTTACCGTAATAGAATAAAATATCGCATCAAAAAAGCCGTGTGCCACTGTATTGATATCCCACTTCCCAACTATTTCCCTTTTATGGATGACATGCCCGCATTCAGACATGCCTCCTTCGCCGTATAACCTACAGAATGTTGGAGAACGGACTAGAAAGGGAATAAGGAATGTCCAAAGAACATTACAGAGGAAGATTGAGCGCGCCAATTCATAAAGATGAACAATATGGATGGAGTCCGGCTGCCATGGCCATTCGCCATTCGCACCACCACACATATCTCTAGATGCACCTTTTCCCCGAAGCTCTTTTTTTTTTTTTTTCTTTTTTTCTTTTTTCTTTTTGTTGCGTTTGAACCAGAAAAGAAAAAAGAAAACGAAAAATAAAAATTAAAAGGGCCAGAAAGTAAAAAAAAAAAAACAAAAACAAAACAAAAGGTCCACGATTTTTCTTGCTGAGAAGAACTACAATAGAAATATCGGTATTCCACGCAGCATTCAAATCGGTTCTGTCGGAGGACATTCCATGCCATGCACTCGACTTACTTAAGGAGGACCCAAAAGCGCCTAAGCTTGGCCATGAGAAGGTTATTGAAGTGCAGTTTATCACGATCATGTCTGCCTACTTTTAACAAAGTAGATTTTCACTGTTGTGTCTGTTTGCTTCACCCTCTCATAGATAGAAATCCTACTTTTTAACAAGTCTTCTATTTCCTATTGCCTTTCAGTATACACCCCAGTGCACACAAATCAATCATGATGCGAGCCTTGCATGTGGTTGTCTTGCCAACTTTATAATTAAATTGTTTTTGCCGGAGCAGAAATTAATCAATCCAAACTTTATTTCACATTAGGTTCCACGTAAATGAATGCGGCTCTTAAATAAATTAAAGAGGTCACCCCCTCTACACCTCAGGAAAAATGGCTTGTCACAGCTGGAAGAGGTTACAGTAGAGAGAGCCAGCAACAGAGACGCTTAGTCAATCCCGTGACCCTGTACTAACACTTTCTGGAGAGTCGATTCAAATAGTAGTGTATGCTAGACTGCTGCACTTTTTAATATTTAATCCTCCTCTTCTAATAATCTCTTCTCCCATCAACGCCACTCTTCCGCAATTCCTTCACTGTCGCCATCAACGGGCTAATTAGCATTAAATTGCATTTTGCTTTGAATGTCTCCGTGAACTGTGGCAAACTAAAACTTTTGATCTCTTTATTTTTTATTGCTTCTCCATACTTCTTTTTATTATTGTTCTTCTTCAGCCTTGCGTGGCATCCTTACCTTCTTGATGAGTATTGAATGGACATTCCTGACATGTACTTTTTCCGCAACTGATGCGTCATAGGATGTGAACAGCGCTGAAGTATTCATGGAGGCGAGGCTAATAAGAATAATGAACCACAATAGCGGGAGCAGATCAAAAGAAATGGAAGAGAGAATGAGGAATGATTGTTGTTAAATTCATTTTACTTCATCAGTTCTAGCACGGACTACAGTATTGCAAGGAAAGTTGAGTGGATGAGCAACTAGGATAGTAATGAGTCGAAGAACAAGAATAGGTTCAAGGATAGTTTTACACTAACATGCAAAACTGAATCAATAATTCATTCCAATGTACATTTCTTTTTTTTTCTTTCCTAGGAACCGTATATGCATACAACATTCATACTTTGTTTTAGTAAAGCTCCCGTCTTCTTCTACGCCATAGCAGGGGGCTCCTATTCGATAATCGAATAGAATTCGAATGCACTGCAAAAAAAAAAAAATTTATATGCATTCGAATTTCATTCGATTATCGAATAGGAGCACTGGTTGGCTCTGAGAGTGGTCTCAACTGCAGTCTTGAGTGTACTTTGTTTCATGTTCACCCTAAGATACTGCATGATCTCTCTAGGTACTTTCCTTGGTCGACCGTCATTATTGACTGGCATGTACTCCTTATTTCTTGCATAGATCCTGGTGGCCGTCCCTTGTGATATACCAACGCTAGCAGCTGCTTCCCTAGTAGACATGCCTCCCATCATTAACCTCCTGGCTTCGTTGACTTCCCTTTGTGGAGTTGGTCTCATATTCCGTGAAGATATAGTTAAGACAGAATTAAGCAAGCGTTTATAAAGTAAAGAGGGAAAAGTCTTTCTTTTACTTGCATTATATGACGTCCGGAAGTTGTCATGGGCAACATTTTAGACCACCTACAAAACTGAACTAGTAGCCTAAACGAACAAAAAAGTCATTAGCTTTCCAAATGAGACAAGCCAATATCACAGCGCATAACTATAACGTAGAAGAAGACGGGAGCTTAATTAAAACAAAGTATGAATGTTGTATGCATATACGGTTCTTAGGAATGAAAAAAAAAAAAAAAAAAAAAAAAAAAAAAAAGTACATTAGAATGAATTATTGATTCAGTTTTGGATGTTAGTGTATCTGTGAAGACTGTTCTGCTTCAACAAATTGCGCTGTGCTTTTTTTTTGTCGAGCATCTCGCAACTGCCTCTTTCTTTTATTCAAGTCGCCGCCCATTATAGTTTATAGATTATATATTAAGGAGAATAATAACTTTTCTGAGTGTGCAGAGATGATGATGGACTCTTAGATGTACCCCAAAATGAGTGCCTTTAGTAAAACATGGGCAGTGTGACTGCGATGGTGCAAAATTAGGACTAAGGTTTTTTCCTAAAATTTTCTGCCACTAGATGCGAGTCACTTTTGCTCCCATTGATACTGAATACCTTGGTCAAGAGACGGTATCGTCCCCTTTGCGGAGCACGGTTACCTTTTCAACATTCCCCTTGAGTTGACCATCTTAATAGTGAGTGATGGAGAGTGGTAATCCCAAATAGGAGAGCCCAGTTTTTGCGTCGTAGCATAGTCCTTGATGTACTTCTCGCAAAGGAACACTTCAGATTAAGGCTATAGAGAGATTTGAGAGGTTTTTAATTCGTTTACGCAACAGAAGGGTGTTTTTAAAGCTTCCCAATACCATCTTAGTCCATATGAATAATCATTAAACAGGACAAAGACAAATACCTTCAAAGATCTAAAAGATACAAGAGCAAAGAATGGCTAGTGGTGAAGAAAAGGAGCCGGCTGGTGGAGAAGAGGAACTGACTGGTGGAGAAAAGAAGCTGGCTGATGTGTAAGGAGAAAGGAGGAAGATTGAGAAAAGGTGAAAATGGTCAAAGTAATTGTGAAAGGCGAAAAAGATGGTCAAATGATTATGAAAAAGCGAAAATATGATCAATCAATTGTGATAAAATGATTTTGAAAAAGGTGATAAAATGATTGATAAGAAAAAGAAAGAGAGGGTGATGAATCCACATTACTTTGTCTCTCCTCATGATAAGCGTCATTTGTCTCCATTTATTATTATTAACACTATCGTTATTAGAGTTGCTTTTACTATAGTACATGTTTGATATCGTTTCTGCCATACCAGTTTTATCAGTTGCCTTGATCAAAGATCAATCGTAGGTTTTGATTTGAACTTCTTGGAGCTTCGATGCGATGCTCTATACCGGAACTGGTTTCCATGCACTGTAAAAACTGAATTACGGATACGAACAGTAAATACGTTGTTGGTCTTAGGGATCACTAAATAAATCAAAAAAAAAAAAAAAAAAAAAAAAAAAAAAGGTCCATGAATTCATTGTTACAATACATCAGTGCTCCTATTCGAACTGAAATTTTGTCAATTATGATGTTTCAGATTAAAAAAATAAATATCAATTGACAAAATTTCAGTTCGCATAGGAGCACTGCAATACACTGCATTATTCAAAAAAGATAAAAATGGATAAAACAAGGTACCTCGAAGCGCATCGGCCGCAGTGATAATTTTGAAAACGTTTTCGGTTTCTTGAGCAACAATACCACTTGCACCAACATACGTAGGGCATTTTGATTGTGCAACTGGGTGATTTTGAATGCGTAGTAAAGGAATAGAGAATGAGTTTTAGGCAATCATCTCGAAGTTTCAAAAACAGACCCCTTTTTTTTTTTTTTTTTTTTTTTACCAGTGATGATTGCTCCGTGGAAATCAGCCTTGAGAAGTTTTTGAGTAAACGCGACAGGATTGCTTGGTCCAAAGAGTTCCTCCATGTAACCCTTCCATAAATCATGCAAGGGAAGAAAAGATTCATATCTAGGATATAATCGCCCAGGTTAAGATATTTAGTACCCTTGATCTGGAGACTTGAATAAGAAAAAAAATATAATGACTATAATGACATGTTTTTGCTTATGCTTACTTTCTCGCCTCCACAGGAATGTGATACACCTCAAAAGCCCTCTTCTCTTTTGCTGTCAATGCCTTTGACTTGTTGGCTCTCCGTCGTTGCTTCTGCTTCTCTCTAACTTCGTTTGTCGCTTTACTGGGAGGGTTGTCAAGCATGACCGCTTTGTTCTTCACCTTCGTTTTGTAGACTTCTTCCTTGTCAAAACCTTCCACGATTGCATTTTCAACGTATTTAGGAACAAATGCTTGTAATGCCTGTGTGCCTTTCATAGATGCCCCAACAAGCTTTTTTTTTTTTTTTTTTTTGTTATAGATGGTTGTTGTCGTCGTTATTATTTTTAATATCGATATGATGTAAAAAAGGAATGGAATAAAGGTAAGGTTTAGCTTTCACTTTTGTACCAAGTATCGCATAGCAATAAAGAATTAGTCAGAAAAAAAAAAAAATTCCGTACGCTGTCCTGAATCCCTGCACTCTTGCGCACATTGTCGGGTAGTTTACTATAGAGACTAAGTTCTTGTCGATCCTGATTGTCCATGATTGTCTGCTCCAAGGATGATAGCAATGCTAATGTTAAAAAAAAATACATAAAAAGTTTGTCTTATTAAAACGGATCAATACAGAAAGGCGCGTCACACAAAACTCAGCTTTTTTTTTTTTTGCCTCATCTCATCTCCCAGCCAAAAAAACCGAGTCCAATGTCCACCATGGAAGAACATCAGGAATCACAGGAAGAGCAGCAGCAGCAGAACATTGCCGCCGCTGATGAACCAGCCCCAAAACAACCATCCGATGAGTCAGAGAACAGCGTAGTTGTCGAAGGAGACCTTTTTTCTCCCAATACCATTAATGATCGTATATCAGGAAAGAATGATGATAACCTCGATGATTTTGGTGATTTCGGATCTGCACAGGATATTAATAACAACACTACTACCCTTGGTGTTGAAGGGCGCAGGAATAATGACTTGTTTGAAGATGATGGATTTGGAGCTTTTGATACAGCTACAACAACAGCAGCAATAACCACCCAGATGTCGGCGCCTAGCAACGACGACGATGATTTTGGTGACTTTGGCGAGGTTCAGGCTGCAGGCAATGATAACGATGGATTCGGTGATTTCAATGATTTTGCAGACGGTGATGGCTTTCAGACAGCAGATGGTGACGATGACTTTGGAAGCTTTGAGAGCGTTGAAGATGGCAATCCTTTCGGTGAACCTGTGCAGATACAGGTTTCTGCTCCGGTGCCAACTCCAGCCCCCGTAGCAGAGGAGGCACCAGTTGTGGTTCGTCATCTTTGCCTTTTTCGTTTTCTTTTTCTTTTCTCTCTCTCCTCTATCAAAAAACGTTTTTGGCGTGATACTGTTTTCTATTTCATCTAACATAAAAAAACACAACCTAGATTGCGCCTGATTTCACTGCTGTCAACTCGCTTCAGGTCGAAAACTACGTACTCGAGAAGCTTTCCGAACTATACCCTATTGAAGACGATGATAACCATGGCAACTATTCTGCACCAAGTCTATTGAATACAGATATGGAAGAACTCGACATGGCTTCGTTGCTGGCAGAACAAGAACTGTGGACCTCATTATGTGAACAATCATTCCAAATCCATGATAACATTAGTACTCACCATCATTATCACCATCATCATCGTCAGCAACAGCAAAACAACAATAGAAATAGTAGCACTGAGTATCCTACGAGTCCATTGGCAAAATCGAGTTCTCCATCCTCTCAGGCAGCACCACAGTTTCAATGGAAACACTCAAACTTGAGGAAAGAGTACTATGCTTCATTAGGACTCGTTGTTGCGAAGGAACAGGTATCTACACATTTATACTTGATGTTTATCATCATCCTAAGACTATAGTTAGAATCAAATTTTAAATATGTGTTTTTTTTTTCTTCCTTGCACCCCAGACTGTTGTGACGCCATCCTCCATCCCCAACTCACTTAACAATATATCTTTAGCAAGATCAAGGGTTTCATCACCCATGATTGTCAGTACTGAGACTATGCCGGAGCGTAAGCCAATAGATATTGCAGCGGTACAGGCCTACTGTCAGTTTACACCAGGTAAAGAAAAGGTTCAGGATATATATATTTTTTATAAGTTTTCATTCCTTAAGATAATTTAACTTTTTTTTTTTTTTTTTTTTTTTTTTTTTTTTCTTGGGGGATGGGATGATTTAGAAAACCTTGGTGGATACTCTGGAGAAGAAATGAAGGATATCATTGCACAGCTTACAGAATACACCCGTCAGGCTTCAGACGAGCTCACCTATTGGCTTGATCAAAGAGAACAGATGATCATGGATTCTGAACGGTATAATGAAATGATTGGCTCTTTGGTCGGACGTGCTGCTCAATTAAAAGATGCGGAATCAAAACAAAGTACAAAAACAAAAACGAAGAGGTTGACCAGATCTAGCTTTCATTTGAAATAAATTATATATCAATGGCTAAAAAAAAAAAAAAAAAAAAAAAAATGCATCTGTTTATTCCTTGGCTTGAATATCCTGATCGTTATAATTTTCTGTTGGAATTGTCCATCCAAAAGGGTTTAGTTTGAGACCGTATCCGAATATGTCCGTCTCATCATTTCCACTAACATTGGTAGTTGGATCCAAAGCAGACAAAGTATTTATCGGACCAATACCGCCACCACTTACAAGTCTGGATGAAGCTGAAGATCCTCCCCCTCCTCCTCCTGCTCCTGCACCGCTCAAGTTGATAGAATTATCCGTCATCATGGGCTGTTTGATGGTTGCACTGGAGAACGCTGCGGAAGATAGAGATGAAGGGGCTTCGAATCCACGATGGCTTCGACTGCTAAAGTAATGATCTGCAAATGCGATAGCATCCATAGATAGAGGCGTTCCAGTGTCTAGCGAAGACACAGACGAGCCGTTAGGGCTAGGTAACAGACTCTCTATTCCAATATTCTGGACATCCCGTACAGATGAAATGCCTGAATGTCGAGCAGCTGACTTGAACCGTCCATCATTCTGACCCCAAAGATCATGAGTGCCATGAAGCATAGGGCTGTATGAGCCCTCTGGACCTCGAGCCCAGCCACCATCTGCGCTGTCATATCCTGGCCAAAAGCCTCGATCTGCAGAAGACTTCCTGATCAGTGACTTGCGTGTAAATCCTTGTCCGACCTGGTTGAGTGAAGAGAGATGAGGCGATGTTGGTGAGGATGAATCGGAGTAGTTAAGTGAGCTGGAACTTCCTTCAGCCTGACTGTGCATTCGATCCAGAGTTCCATGGCGACCGATGGGCTTGAGGTCCCAAGATGGCGATGATGATTGATAGGGCTGCAGTGTGGTGGCAATTGGAGATGAAAGCGGTGAAGGGATCCCAGGAGTGGAGGCTGATCGGAGGTGTGAAGGAAGGATCTTGGACTGTGCCACTAAGGAGGAGTGGTTTCCAACAGTACGCAGAGGATGGCGTAAATCCAGTGTGTCTGGCGCCTCGAACATTGTTTTGATTACAGTTTGTTCATTCAGCTGATGCTCGTTAGCCATTCCAGCTTCTGAAAGCATTCCTGAAGACATATCCATCGACGTAGGAGTCCCGAAGAGTCGATGGTAATTGTATGATTGATTGGATGCAATGTTGGATGAGCCTTTGGATTCAAGTTCAGCCAAAGATAGTTTGTTTCCGGCACCGGCTGAAATGGATCCAGGTTTAACTCCCGATGAGGGTGGTCCTCCCCAATGAGGTTGCCCATGAGCAATCGGCGGCGAATGAACCTGTCCCACGGCCTGGAAGCGAGCTCGAGGGCTCATGCTGTATCGTTGGGATTCGAACGGCTGTCCAACATGAGCATTGGATCGCGATGGAGAGCCAGGACTTGTTGAGCTGTTTTGGGTTATAGAATTCTTTCGCGAACGCCCATATCCTGGAGCACTGGACTCCATCGCTTTAATTGATTCAGACGAGTTGCTGGCCTTGGCTGGAAGTCCAGGAGGTGGACCAGTTATCTTACGCACAGGTGTCGATCTAGCATCTCCTAAAAATGTATCATCCTGGAATAGCCCGTTCAGGATCTGTATTCCAGGGTTATTATTCCAGCTAGCTCTAACCCAGGTTGATCTAGTGTCTTGACTTTGCTGCTCCAAGTAGTTTTGCGTAGACTGTGCTTCTGCTGTAGCAGCCTTCCTTGCCTCCACTTGCGCCCTGCGGGCTTCCCGTGCTGATTTCACATGGCTGATATTCTTGGAAGCCTCTGCAAGTTGTTCCTGAAGTTGTTGATTTTCGGCTTTATACTGTGCAAGCTGCTGTGTCAAACGCGTGCAGCGAACGTCCAGATCCTTGCTCTTTTGTTCCCATGAGAGATGACCCTTTGGTAAGTGAATAGTCGCCTGCAACTTTTGGAGCTCTAACTCCTTGACCTCAATAGTATTATAAAGCTCCTTTTGGGACTCTTGCATGGCCTTTAAAGAAGACTCTGCAGCCTTGACATCCTCTGATCGCTTCTTGAGAGCAGCCTCAAGGTCGTGCATTTGCTGACGATGAGATTTTTTTTCTGATTGGAACCTCTCCTCGCTTTGTCTCAATGTCCGCTGCAAGGACTCTAGCTTCCGATGCTTAGCCTCCAATTGCTCCGCAGCCCGTTGTCGTTTCTCAACTTCCATTCGATGTTCCTTTTCAATTTTACTCTTGTGAGCCTCTGCTTCTCGCAAACTTTCTTGCAGCTCCTTCAGTTTTGCTTTGGCCAGTTGTCGGGGCTCATCCTCCAGTTTTTGTTGCTCCCGAAGTGCAGAGATTTCATTCTTCAATTTTTCTTCCTGCTGTTTATACTGCTTTTCAAGGTCAGTGAGTTGTTGAATGAGTAGTGCATGGGCTGCCTCCTTTCCTTGAAGTTGTATTCTCAATGCAGCGATTTGTTCGTCTGTAACTCCTGTGGCCGGGCTTCCTGCAGGGCCATCCTCTACTAAAGTAGAGGGCTGAGTCGCAGAAGTTTTAGATCCATCACCGTCTTTTCCGGATGAGGATGTATTTTTGTTCCCCTCAGCAGAGCTGTCCTGTCTTTGCACAGTTGTTGTGTCTATTACTTCCTGCTCTCTCTCTTTGTTTAATTGCATATGCTCGGTCTCCTTTATCAACTGCTTAATCATTTCGCTTTCCCGTCGCGCATTTTCAGCTAATTATCCACAATATCAGGTGAAAGAAAGAAAAGGTTCGAAAAAAATTAATTAAGGAAGCTTAAAAAAATGAAAGTAAATATTTTTTTCAGTTGGGTTATAATTACCTGTGCTAAGTTCAAGTTCAACAGGAACGGATGCAAGAGTCCGTACAACAACATAATCACTTGGTGTTTTCCAATTACGGGCGGTGATAGCCCAGAGCCGTATTCGATAAGTATTGTCAGGGTAGAGACCTTGGATGACGACGCTGGTCTCCTGCTTGCCACTCTCACCAATGATAAGTCCATCGATTTCGATTAGATGTTTTGAAATGGTTGCCTGAGATGAGCATTGCCAGTTAAGGGTGATACTCCTGTCTTTGACATCTTTGAGCGTGACGATGGAGGGTGCTGGCAAGGTGATCCCAAAAAAGTCCCGTAGGTCGTCTGTTGAGGCATGAAGATATCCAAAGAGATCATACAATAACCAAAGCACACCAAATGCTGAGCAAAAAGATGCTAATGGGGCTAGAAATACGATGGAGGGAACAGCGGGTGGATTGAGAGAGGCGATCAGAGTTTGTCGTTCGATGTAGGGTTTGAGCATATACATGGTCATGGCGAGGATAACGCCCTTGAGATTGAGGCCATGAATTAAGCTGACCATCAAGCCGAATGCTACGCCTGTAGCAAAAGGAGAGGTGAAGCTGAAGGGGACAGTATAAAAGACTATAGCGTTGGAAATGCACATGGCGCCGATGGAGATCAGTACGATATGACCACCAATGAAGAAAATGCGGAATACGAGCGCAAGGATGAAATAGAATAGAAAGAACCATTCGATAGGCAGCTGCAATAGAATGTCCAGTAGGATGGTCAATGACCAAAACAGGATGCATGCCGCAGCGCGATGTCTATGAAGAAATTGTTTCAGAGGATCCGAGAAAATTTTGTTCATATAAAATAAAAAGTCAAGGGGGTGTCAAGGCAAGATGCAATATGCAAGTCAAGGTGCTAAAGTAAACTCTGTGATTTAAGTACCATGAATAAAAAAAAAAAAAAAAAAAAAAGTGATCGTCCACTTTGTCCTTACCGAGAAAGAAGTTGGAATGTTCTGTCGGCAATATCATAGTGTCCAATATACTTTCTTGGACGGGTCGCCAAGGCATGTCCAGAATGCGCAGAGGTACGATGAGTACTCGCGGGAGAGCAGGAGGAAGGAGAAGAAGGAACAGACGAAGGCATTGAAGAAGATTGTTGGGAACTGGAGGACTTTAAATGGGGGAAAGAAGTATCAGAGACAATAGTTTTTGATAGGGCAGAAGAGCCCACAGGGTCATGAAAGAGAGAATGGATCGTCCGTTTCGAATAAGCAGTGGCGTTTGCGTGAAAGGCAGTAGCCATTGACAGAAGGGGAAAATAAAATAAAAAAATAAATAAAAAAAATAAAAAAAAGCGATAGGGAGCAGCCTATTGTGGACACTGACTGCGGTTGATTCTTTTGCCTATGCTTGAGATGGTGCAGGGTGTTTGAGACAAGGGATAGGAATAGAGTATAGGCAAAAAAGTATGAAGCTATTGTCACTGTGGGTCGTAAGAGTTGGTGCAATGGACTGGAGAGGAAGTGAAGTGGGATGTGCAGCCTGCAAGTCCATTGAGCACCAGAAAAGAGTGAATGTGAATATAAAAAAAAAAAAAAAGATCGATCAGCCCGAAAAAAAAAAAAAAAAAAGTGAGAGAGTGAGAGTGAGAGTAAGAGGTAGCTAATACAAGGAATGTAAACAACAATAAAGAGAGAAAAGAAAAAAAGAATAAAAATAAAAGAGCAGGTCGTGTGGTTTTTAATGGGTTCAATGGTTCTCAATGTCCACATGTACCATGCAATGCAATGCAATGCAATTGTAGAGAAAGAAAAGACTTGGAGGCGAGAATGGGAAAAAAAAAAAAAAAAAAATTTAAACCAGCAAATAGCCCACTAATGTGAAAAGTAAAATAAGGTAAATAGTAAATAAAAAACCTTGTAAATAAAATAAACCTTGCTATTTAACGCACCATGTTCCCGTCATGTTGTCGTTCGGTCGGATGCATCATCGAACATTGCATTATGTTTGTATTCCTCAAGAGTACTAAATTCCCGACACGACATTGAAAGGAAACACTCCGTCAAATGATGGATTGACAGCTTCTGTTGTTCTGTGTGTATAAAGTAGATGTAGTAAAATTCAAAAAAAGCTCTCTTTCTTTATTTAGTCTCCTAAAAGTTGCTATGCTCCATGATGCGACTAAAACAACAAATGGGGGTCATTGCCACTAAATAAAAGGAGAAGGAGCGCAAGTCTATGTTGTCGGAATAGAACACTCGGTACAAACATTTATTTATTAGACAAGAAAAGTATACATATGCATGATTTGCCAAGCAACTCTCTTCCATCTCGATTGCACATACACTTGTTCAGCGATACTTTAAAGAGAGGTGAGAGTGATCCCATCCGATGCTTTCTTAATTTAAGAAAGAATGGATGTATAATATGGCATGCCCAAAGTGGTCTCTCTCCCTCTTCTGCTTTCTCAAAGGTTGCACAAACAAATAAAGGCAATCATCGCTTTGTCTGTTGACAAATGGACAAATGAGAACTTTGCTTGCAGATCATCTTTCAATCTTTTTAACGGCTGTCCCGCATCTCGCACGGACCAATCTATACTTCGTTTGATTACCTCGATCAAAAAATGATCTGCTCCACTCAATACAGCAGGAGTTTTTTTTTTTAATTATTATTATTATTATTATTACTATACATAGCAGAAGGACTTTTCATTCAGTCCACAAGCATGGCACTCTCAGCCCTAAGAGCTAGAGGAGGGGAGATCAGTGGTGAAGATGGCCCATCTCTATCTTCCTGACCATCATCTTGACCCTGATTCATCCTTTCTTGCTCCTGCTCCTGCTCCTGCTCCTGCTCCTGCTCATGCTCATGCTCATGCTCTAGGCCCTTTGTTCCATCTCTACTATGCTCACACGTCACATGAATTTCATTTCCGCCCTGTGGCCGTGGATCTGGTGAAGCTGCTTTCACAACCGGAGAATCCGTTGCACAAGCTGAAGGTCGTCTAGGCATTGGGAGAACCAATATCTGCTTTTGTTGCTGCTGCTGTTGTTGAGAGAATCGCCTGCTCTGACCACGTTCACGATGTGACCGATCCGATCCTGGGCTCTGCTGATGTATTGGTGATCCAGAATGGTTATGGATATGTGTGTGACTATGACCGGCATGGCTGTGCGTGTGGCCATGGTGCACATGTACACCGTGGCTGTGTCCGTGCATATGATGGTGTCCGTGTCCATGATGGCCGTGACTATGATTGTGATTGTGATTATGATTATGGTTATGACTATGATTATGACTATGACTATGATTATGATTATGATTATGATTATGGTTATGGCCATGATGACTTCCAGGATGTGCGTGATGATGGAAGTGATGTTGGTGATTGGGATGATTAGGATGATATGGGTGATGGTGTGGATGGTGATGATGTAATGTGTGATGGCGGTGAACTGTTTGTGAACCGCTACCTTTGCTTCCACTTCTTTCCAATTTTGTACCTGCAGGGATGATGTGATGATGGTGTTGAGCAGGATGAATATGTGCTGGTAAAACCGGTGCAGAATGATGTGGATGCACATGTGGATGCGTATGAACATGGCCATGACCACGGCCGTGGCCATGCAAATGCTGGTGCTGATGCTGAGCGTGAATATGAACATGAGGATGTAAGTGACCCTGACGAGACGCTGTTGGTGATGACCTGCCAACTGCATCTTTAGCCAGTATTAACTGTGTATTCTCCGTATGTCCCATATCTGTATCCTCAGCAGTGCCAGATACTGGTGATTGTGGTGATTGTGGTGATTGAGGCGATTGAGGTGATTGAGGCGATTGCGGTGATTGAGGCCTATTGACTTTAGGACCAGTAGTCTCCACCTGACATGGAGCTGTCATTGCACTTCGACAACAGTCACTGACACAAGACGCGCCACAGCACGGTTGTTGGTGGTGGTGTTTGTGGATAGAATGAGCTGGCACTTCCATTTGATTCGTAGTTCCCTCCTGGCCTGGCTTCCTTTTTTCTGAAGACCTCATAAGATGCTGTGCTCGTTGCTATACATGCAAAAAACGTGAGGTGAAACATTGGGATATCGGATATAATAGGGAAAGGAAAAAAATTAGCAATTTAAATAATTTTCAATTAGGTAATCTTCAAATCCATGGAGGATGACTGCGGAACAAACCCTTGTGTGTTCCTCACCATTTGATCAAGTTGAATCAGATATGATATGTACAAATGGGTGGCGTTCACCTTCAGCTTTGGATTGAGGCGCTGAATAGATAGTGTGTAATAAAGCGGTTGTTTTAGTGTGTTGGTCAACGTTACACACGTGTAAAATGGCCTGATAACTAAGTAAACGCATAGGACTTACGAGGCCAAGGGATTTAGGCATGTAGGCAAATGCAGATGAGGAGGATTTGCCTTGGTGCAGATGATGATGATGAACGTGGTGATGGCGATGATGTGAAAGTGGCAAGTGTTGATGAACATGCTGATGTGGGTGATGATAATGGACATGAGGATGTGTGTGCTGGTGCACAGGCACCATGTGTTGATGTGAGTGACGAGGCTGTACCATGTTGCTTGAACCTGATGGATTGTGATGATGGTAATGACGATGATGATGCTCAGCAGGACTATATCCTCGCATTAAATCTTCGTGAGAATGATGATGATGAGCGTGGTTATGTTGAAGCTGAGGCTGGCGCGAGCGCCGGTTGGCCAGATATCGATCATCAGAATCACTGTCATCGCTTCGTGAATTACTACGACTCTGTGGCCTGATCTCTTCGTCTGGAGAAAAGAATAAAAGAATTGAAGGGAATCCTGTCAGATGGCCCTTTGTTTGTACCACGTTCACATATCGCATAGACAAAGAAGCATGATTGAAAGAAGGAAAAAAATAAAAAAAAAAAGTCTCATTTTTTCTTTCCTGTTATAAGCCAACCGTACCTGATACCCTCCCATTAACACGCCAATGCCCAAACGACCCGCCAGATCGAGTCGCATGGCGACTAGGACTTGCATTTATCCTATCGTCCGTCTTGTGTGAGAAAGAAGACGACGAAGAATCATCTGTTTTTATTTAAAAAATTAAAATAAAATTAAAAGTCTTAATTGTTTGTACAATCGAACCCAAAAATGCAAAGGTTACCGGCTGGTTCCGGATGTGGCCGTCTGATAGTTCGGCATTGTTCCATTCTTAAAACAACACAATAAATAAAATGAAGCGATATCGAGCAATTTGTGTTTTTCATTACTCTCTCCTTACCAATCAAGGAAGAAATTGACATTGTAGCACGAGTGCAAGGTTGTATAGGCGTTTGCTCACTGCGACGCGTTTGTACCGGGGGTGGTGAAGCTCTCACACTGATCAAAGCATCAACCATGGTCTTCTCTGTGGGGCTTGATTCTATAATAGGCTTCAGGGCAGCAGCAGCAAGGGTATCAAGGTTTCCTCTACTTTCAAAATGCGACTGCAGTCGAGTCGGTGATTCCACTGAAGAGCTCTCGGCCATTCCTTTTTGAATGTAAATTGGGCTGTCACTATGTTGGTTAGTCGTAGCAGCAACACTGGCGATGCTACCCTTGAGACTGTCACTGCCCTGCTCTTGAGGTGCATGAGGCGAAGCTACAGGTGAGACAGATGAGGAATCCATGTGCTCAAGGTAATGGTAAAAAAAAAAAAAAAAAAAGTGAGAGAGAAAGAGAGAGAGATCCAATGGCAGAAAGAAGTGAATATGAGGGTATTAAGCGCCAATGGATGGATGGAGGAAGAGAATGATAAGTGTGAAGCTGTATGTAGGTGAGGAGAATGGATGAGACAGAGTGCGTGTGTATACTATGATGAAGAATGTCGAAATTATTTCATTGTTGCATTTCAAAAAAAAAGAATGTCAAAATAGTTTCCACAAGGGAAACTTTGACTGGCTTGGATGTCAATCCCCTGTTGTCTATAAACAAAAAATAAAAAATCCCGCATTTCATTTCCATTTTAGGTCTCAGAATCTCTCTGTCATGAAGGGTGACCCATAAGGCACTGGAAGATATTAACAAGCATTTGCTTCGCCTCGAGAACAGAACATTTCAAGCTTGAGCCCATTGGTATATTAGAGGAAATAAAAGGCTACAAACAAACATCCATTACCAAATTGATTTTTTAAACAGGTGCAGCAGATGGTAATATTTTTATGAAATCAGTGCGATCCGATCTGCGCTACTATCCAATCCAGTCCTTCAAACAGCCTATTTAAATAGCAAAATTAAACATTAAAAAAAAAAGTAGGTGCAGTGAAGTTAATAAGTTGGTAGCTAATTTGGGATTGAGACAATCCCACCTAGTTCAATCACAAGAGTATCATAAAGTCTTTACCCATCTCCAGTAAGGGCCGAGCATGCCTGGATATGCCACTGTCGATCCTGCAATGATGTGAGTGCAAGGGCCTCAGAAATCTTGGCTGCACTCAGTGCACCCTTGACGTCCTGCTTGTTTGCAAATACTAAAAGACTTGCGTTTCGTAATGACTATTGCAGTAACACAAAAAAAAAAGGCTCCACTGATTAGAAGCCTGTCCATTCTAAAAAACATTTCACAAACGCTTTTTTTTTTTTTCAGGTTGTAAAGGCTTGCCTCTGACTCCATCATAGTGTGTAATTCTGTTTTTGAAATGTGGAGGCGTTCCTTATCTGAACTATCAATGACCATGATGACGGCTTTTGTATTGACGTAGTACGTTTTCCATGATGATCGTAGTGATTCCTGACCTCCTATGTCCTACTCCACCAAAATAAAGAATATGTATAAAAATATCAAAGCAGCGTGTCAATATGCGCACATATTTCAAAGTCATGGTTCAGAATGAAAAGTAAAGAATGTATTCATGATTTAGTACAACTCACCCACATGAGGAACTTGATATTCTTGTAAGTTATTTCTTCAACGTTAGATCCTATCGTTGGTGTGGTAACGACGACTTCATTCAAAAGTCTAAAAAACACGCATATAAAATGTATGTCAAAAATAGCATGCTGAAAGCTTTTTCCGTCTTCTAGACATTCCCTGAATTAAAAGCTTGAAGGTGCTGAACTAAGCCTGATATCCATATTCTTTTCTTACTTACAACTTATATAGGACAGTAGTCTTTCCTGCATTGTCCAGTCCGACGATCACAATCTTGACTTCCTCTTGACTCATTAGCTTCCGCCAGAGCCTTGTCAATACAATACCCTGAATAATATTTGTATCAGCTTTATTTAGTTTCTTTTCTTTCTTTCTTTCTTTCTTTTTTTTTTTTTTTTTTTACTTTGTTCCTCCGAATGTATACATCGAGATGGCAGAGACAAGTAACAAATGCTTTATGCGTGTACCATGGTGAGTTCCGTTTCTTTTATACTGTAATGTCGATTGTTCACTACTATTCACCAAAATGACATAAATTATATGAATATCTCGGTTTTGATGATTATTCGTGGTGGTAAGTGAGAGGTGGTGAGTGAGAGGTGGAGAGCGTTGAAAGGAAAGAGGTCTAAAGGGATGATGCATGCAACAAGCTAGAAAACTATAGCCTTTACACGTGATTTTTTATATTACAAAAAAAGCATCTTTGAATGTCTGTAGCGCAGTGAGAGAAAGAAATTCGGGACACACGCGATAACCCCAAATGTAAGAACTGGATCAAGGTCCTTCCACATGCGCAATAGTAATAATTCCAACTATCTGTCATGCATGCACCATGATAGTGTCCGGCTAAAGTGATATGAGTTTCCGTTGCAGAAAAGTCTTTGTGATGTATGCAGGCAGATTTGATGCAACGAAAATATTACTCACTCACTGAAATATTACAAGGCCTTGATGGGTCCAACCTTTTGTTCTCATTCACTTTACCCGCTTTCATCTTGCATATGGAGGGCTACGCCCAGCCTTTTCTCTCACTTTCCCCCGTTTCTTTCCTTTCCTATTTTCAATCATTCATTTTATCGGCACAACATGCCTGATCCAAATGACGAGTTAGTAAAACTTCTCCATGATTCTTCTTTTATCGTATTATCTCATCCAGCCATACTCATGGCTTTAGCTACCTCAATTACCACCATTGTCATTGCAAACACAGAACGACAACAACAATGTGATATGGTATAGAAGAGCGGCAATGAACACCAAACACTCGCTTAATACATTAGTGGCAGTTGCCTCCACAATAACTCAATACTACAACCACATTTTTGGGGCCATGCAAGTTCTCTGCTTTAATAAGTTAAGTAGTCTCATCACTCTTTTAAATGTATAAAAAAAATATGTATTTGTGGTGAGAATCACATTAAGATAGACAGAATATTTTCTTTGGCCATACAATCCTTCAAGAAATAAAAGTACTCTTTGATATTTGCGCATTAGTACAAGAATTTTAGACAGATTTTGTTTTTCTATGGTGAATGATTTTCACTGGTAAGGAGCTAAAACAAAAAGAGCAGCAGGCAAAGGAGCGAGAAGAACAGTCTGTTTAGGCTCGATATTGAGGCAATATTAAATTTCAAAGCTTTCACTTTTTTTTTTCTCCTTTTACCTGAATTTTCAATTCCTCGCCTGACATGGTTTCGTCCTCAAGGCCATTCTCTAATCCATTTTCAAGCAAATCCTTTCCACGTCGCAGCACTATGCAAGGGAAAAATTAAAAATAAGATTAGAAACACCACAAAAAAAAAAAAATCCGAGCATACAGATGTTGCAAGGTTTGTTTCTAGTTATAGTCATATACCCTCTCCTTCCTCTTCCTCAACTGCTTTGCGTAGCTTCTCAAGAGGACTGGCAAGCGTAGACGGAGATTTTTCAGCCTCTATACGAACTACACTCTCTGTATTGACTGGCGTTGGCTTGAATCCTCTGCTAGAATAATTCTTGGTGACTATTTCATCATCCCCATCTCCATCTTCCGTACCACGCTCTGGATCAAATTGACCATCGATAGATGTCAGCTTCGGGGGAGATGATTGTCCTGAACGATGGTCAGATAGTAACTTGGTCCGGCGGACATCAATCAGAGCATCGTTGGTATAGACCTCGTCGTCCATGTCATCTTCATCTTCAAGCAAAAATGATGAATCAATATCGGACTCTGGTTCCTCTGAGAGAGTCTGAGGTACGACCTGATCCTGGGCTGTTTTTTTTTCATGTGCTATCTCACTATCTACTAAGGCCTTTTTTGAGCTCTCAGCTAAGTTGGTTGACGACGCTGGACCCTCTGCAGAATCGGCAGGCTGAAGAGAGTTTGTTCGTGGTCTGATAACAACATGATTGGGTATCTCTGGTAGAGCAAAAAGAACAAGATATGCCTCCAAAAAGACATTCAAAAGGTTATACATTGTTTCCAGCTCATGCAATGCCTTGTCATTATCAATCCTGCTATTGAGATTCAAAATATTCGCTTGATGGCGTTTGCATTGATGGTACAGCATCTGAAACATTCACGAGCCATAAAAAATTAGTTAGTTTAACATAACTATTCTATCAGTAAGCAAGTATGTGGGCGTTTACATGTCTAGAAAGTACCTCAATCTGTGGAGGTGCACGATAAAGAACACCTTTTGCGACTTCAAGCATTTTCTTCTCCTCTGGAGTGGCAGGAATAGGCTCCAGTGGAGGCGTGGATGTATGTGGGTCTCCTACGTGACCATTTTCTCCCGTCAATGTATTGGGCAGCGGTACAGCATTTTTACGATAAAAGTGCTCAAGCCAATTACGACGCATCGCCTTCTCATGATTGAGGGCCTTCTCCATAGCACCAAGCGCCTCTCTCGTTCGGTAGAGCTCGCCAGCGACGCTCTCGAGTAATTGCCATCGCCTGTCCTCATCTGCTGCTGTAGATAGTCCGGATATAAATGGAGACGAAGGTTGACTAAAGATCGTATTGCTCGGCATGACATCTGGAGAAGGCATGCCTGCATTTGATCCCGTCTTCTCCTCCATATTTCGAATGCATGCACGAAGGATATCGCGCGATAGACGTGCAAATTCTGCGTCATTGGGCGGTACATTCAAGTCTAAACAGGTCAAGCTGTTGTTCATGCGGATGCTCACAGACAATGCCATCACACCAGCAATATCCACGAGATCGTTTCCTGTCAGATCCAGCTGAGTCAGGGTGCGCGTCTCGGGCAGGAACTCGGCGAGAGCAATAGCTCCTTCTGATTGAAGTCCTGTATTAGACAGTGTCAACTTCTTGAGTGTCTTATTGTATGACAACTTTTGGGTCAACGCATTGATGCCAGTAACAGTAGGTCCGCATACACGATTATGACTAAGATCAAGCGACTCCAAGCCGATGTTGAGTTTAAGTGCGTCTGCAAGGACAGCAAGGCGAGCAGGATCAAGATTATTGTGTGTCATAACTAGTGATTTAAGAGACATGTTGCGACGTAGAGTCTGAGCCACATAATCTGCACCTTGTCGAAGGTCGTTATCGGAGATGTCCAATACTTCAACACCACGGGTACGCTTCAGAAGCTCTGGATTAGAAATTCCTGGGAACACTCTCTTAAACCCTTGCTCTTCATTGTTAATAGGAATGGCCGCATTTAATTGATCATCATAGTCACGTATCAGAACACCAATCCAGACCCCTCCTGAAGAACCGATTCTGTTAGATCGCATAGATACGTTCCTCAAGTTTGATTCCCTTATTGCAGGTGCTATAAAATATCAACAGGTTTTCACGTAGACATTGGCCAAGTTAGAAAGCATGACGGTAAGGTATAAAAGGCTTGCTTGCTTTGGCGTTCTCCTTTTACTCACCCATGATCTCAAGCAGATTTCCTCGCAATCCACAGCGGTCCATACGTAACTCCTCTAATCTTGATCCGAAGCCAAGGCGACCGACTTTGAGAGCATGCGCCAAGAACTCGATTGACCGTTTATCCATTGCAATTCCAGATACATTTAAAACCTTGAGCGCTTTAGTCTGATATCATGATTAAATAAAAAAATAAAAATAAAAATAAAAAAATGTTTGATTGTCAAAAATATATAAACTCAGATGCACGACAACTACTTAGAGTCAAAATAAGCATGACTTAAATACAAAAAATACCTTTTTAACGAAAACCGAAATGTATTTGAACCCGTTTGACTTTATCTTCTTGTTATCCTGGACACTGAGCACAGTCAACGTGTCTGTGAGCAGCAAGCTGTAGAGTAGCATTTTCAGTGTCTATTATCATAGCCCCGAAGTAACATTGAGAATGGTAAATGACTGATCAAAGCTGGTGTTATCACAGATGACAAATGATCCTTTATGTACTCCGCCTAACTTACATCGTCCTCCAGATTACAGTTATCCAGATAGAGTTGCTTCAATCCGAATTCCAGCGTGAGAACATCTGCAATTGGATCTAATGTCTTTCGTGGTAAGGGTTCACCTGGTAAAAAAAAAGGGGGGGAAGAAAAAAGGAGTTTAGTGTGGGTATTTTCAGTTGTCTAATGAAAATAACGAAATGTCTGTATGATTACCTGTCAGATCTATAGTAGTTAACAGTGGATTCGATGGTCTGCTTGCGGCAGCCTAAAAGAGAGACAGAATACATATTGATGAGTCTCTCGTGAAACTCTTTTTTTTTTTTTTTTTTTTTTGTCCTTGCAATAGAAAAATGATCAAGATTGTGTGAATCTACATACATGCATATCATTGATAAGACGATCAATTGGAGACTCCTCGCGAGTGTTGCACGCAACTAGATAATAGTTCATAATCTCCTTGGCTGTATAAATGTTGTCATCTACTACAACGCCGTCTGTCGTTGTGAGTAATTTTTTAGGCGGAGCAGGTGTCGTAATAATCTGAACCTGTGTCTTTGAGGGCTCGGTTTCCTCCGCGGACTCATAGGCATCGTCATGATGGAAGATATGTTCTGTCGTCAATTGCCCTACAGAAAACCTTACATGCTTTAACGCCTTATCAGACAACAATGAACTGGAGCTTCCCTCAGTGTCAGCTAAAGAGTAACGTGACCTTTCATTGTTGGTAAAAATAGGTGGTCCTGCAGGTCGATGGGATCCAGAAGGTGATGTTGGAGAGGGTGAGGTGGCTGCTGCTGCTTGTAAAACCAGTTTCCTGAACATGGAAGTTGATTGAGCTGTATAGGCGGTGGGTGTCGAAGGCCCACCCATGACGGCCAGTTTGTTTACAGTGCTCTGTAGCCATTGTGACTTGAAGACAGGATTTTTAGCAGGTTGTTCGATAAAAGGGTAGGCAGTCTCCTTCTTGAGAATAGACTTTTTGGGCACGCTGCCGAGGTCAATGGGTCGTAGTGGCGGTCGTTTCAATTTAGGTCTGCTACTGATAACTATCAAAGATCAAAAAATAATTGTTTTTTTTTTTTTTTTTTTTTTTTTTGGATGAGCATCGCCATTCGTCTACTACCAAATGATTGCCATGTACAACAATAACAGTGTTGCATCAATGAGAGCAATGAGAGTCATTAAAGAATGAGTATTATAAAAACATACTTCCTTGCTGTTGCTGTTGCTGTTCCTGTTGCTGCGATGACTGCATGGACAATGTATTTGTGGTTAATGCTATTGAGTGGGTCACAACTTCTCCCATCACTGTTTCCGTTATACCAACTGCGTTGGTGACTTCGTGCTGGCCCTCCAAGGGTTGCTCATGCTCAGCCCCCTGTTGCTTATCCATTTGCTGCTTGTCCCGAATGGTATCCTCCATCGATTCGAATTCACCTCTTTGGTTTTGTGGATTCGGGAAGGAATTGGTGTCTAGTGAGGCACCATTTACGCTTGTTTCTTCGAGCCGAGAGGTGCTGTCGCTGCTGCCGCGCTGAGAATCATGGTCCAGACTGTTAGGACTGAAGTTATTATGTTGAAGGGACTTGATTATATTCTTATGTTGCGTTTCTTCGGTTTCTTCCTGGTCTCGGACATGCTTGACTTTCTGCGGCTGATAATCGGTTGAAATAATATCTACTGTGGCATTCAGAGGATCCAAGATACTTTCGGTGGAAAGAGGCGCCATTATAATCTTTGGAGCGGTAAGAGAAGTATTATTGTCAGAGTTTTCCCTGTGTTGGATACCTATCATGTCCAGAGCAATAAGAAGACTGAGGTTGCAGCTGCAATGAGACTGCAGAAGAAAAAGAAAATAATTTAAAAGAAATAAAAAAATAAAAAAAGTGTGTGTGAAAGCGATGATGGAAGCAATGAACTGAGAATGAGAAAAAAGGCAGGAACGTGGTAAAGAGAAAGGAGGAATCACAAGAAGGGGCACTGAAGATTTAAAGTTGACTGCAGAAACAGACATGTCTTGTTTTTTTATCCTTTGTACATTTCTCTTTGGTTATATTGAAATCTCCCTGACTACATGTTTATTAAAATCTCTGGAGGCTATCTTCAATAAGGCGTCGGGCTAAGGGCAAAGTGAAGTGGGAAGCACATTTATTCTTTGCCCACACCTATTCAGCACAAAAAAAAAGAAATATAAAATAGGGCTCAAGAGTTGTACATTACGATCGAATCGAATACAGGGATACAGGGGGGATACATGGGGATACAGGGGAAGTAGACATGTCGTTCAGCTCCGCCATGATCCACACACCCATCCTGGAATGTTCTGCGGATCAAAATGATCAATAGGGCCTTGGAATTACTATATCTTACTAGACTACAACTGTTTTCCCCTGGCTGTTTGACAACTAGAAGGTTCAATTGGGTAACATCTGAAGAACGGTCTTTCTCCTTTGCCCACGCTTAGACCTATAGTTATTTAAGAGTAATGAGAATGTATTAACATGCCCAGTAAGGGGGCAAACGAACCAACAGATGGCTCCAGGTCAGATAAACCATACATTACAGGATTTTGTATATTTTTGTTTTTCTTGTCAGTTCCTGCTCTCATATTAAAAAAAAAAAAAAAAAAAAAAAGAATTCCAATGGATTGTTTACTGTGAATGAAAAGGTCGTTCGTTGTGTTGTTCAGTCGAATGGGTTGTGTCCGTCGACCTGTGGCAAAAGCAAAAGAATGAAAAACAAGGGCAACAAAGTTCTCTCTTCTTCTCTCTCTTTCTTTCCTTCTTTCTTTTTCTTTCTCTTGCTCTCATATATTTTCCCGCCCTTTTGTCTTTCTCATCCCCAATACTCTTCCGTCCCATCAACCTATCTAACCACTTTCATTCTTCCCTTTATCCATCACTTTTATCTTTTCATCCAAGGGATAGTTCATACATTTTCGTATCACATTCCAACATCCCCAGAACCAGACTTGGCTCTATAATCGAAGCTAAGCCTTTGTTATGATGTACCAACAACCTCGACCCCAGGCACAGCCCGTCAACGTGGCTGTTCCATACACCCAGTTTGCCCAGATGCAACTGAAACACCAATCGCATATCCAAAACCCTCCCTCCTCCTCTTCCTCCTCCACTCATCAACAGCAACCATTGCCGTATACCCATCATCCGCTTCAACAACAACAGCAACAACAACCGATTCAGCCCATCAATGCTCGTCCTATTTATACCGTTGCTCCAGGCTCTACCCCTCTGCAGCAACATCAGCAAGTACAACAGATATATCCTGTTCATCCACTAACTCATATCTCACCCTCGCATAATAATGTACAGCAACAGCAATACTATGCTCCTGTATCTGGGGTAAGTACTGCTCCAGCTGTTTCTGCTGCCCATATTAAGCCCACAGGTACAGTTGCAGCTGGGGTTGTTGGAGTACAAACAACAGCACAACAACTGAGGCCTCAGCTTGCGACTCAAGCTTCTTTCACTTCTCAATCTCAACCTCACTTCAATGCTGGCCATGCAGGGTCCATAAACGCAAATGCGCAAAATATATCTTTGCCGCCGGGTTATGTGCTTGGGACTCCTACGATCCTTCCAGCTGTTCCGGGATTCAACGTCCTCTCTGCAAATGGGACCATCATCCGGCCACCGATCGTGATGCGTCCTCCAGCATCAATCTCTGTTGGTAACGCCAAGATCATTTCTTCCCCTGGATTGGCAAGATTACCCTTGGTTGGAAATATGAGACCGATTCTGATAGGTAAGCCAAAATAAAGCAGTTACATATTAATGCCTGAAAAAAAAAAAAAAAAAAAAAAAGTTGTACGTTTGTTATTTTTATCAATTAACAGTTGATTTGTCCTTTACTACTCCACAGCTGCAGGCCCGCCAAGCATCATTAAAAATCCTCTTAGAACCAAAGCACTTCTTGAACGCCCCGTCCCTCGGATACATGTAAGATGACAAACTTTTTTTTTCTTGATTTTTATTGGATCCGAGGGGAAACCTGAACGGACAATTCATTTGAAATTTGCTGTAGATCAAGCAAAGGACCAATACGCTACTGGCAGACTTTTGGAGCGAGGACATGGATGTGACTAAGGACGGCAAGATGGTCAGTATCCACGAAAGAGCCAAGAGCTCATCAGAATGGAAACTCAGGACTCCAAAGCAAGCAGGAATAGTTGTTGGTATTGACTTTGGAAATACTTTCACAGGTGTATCCTACTCTCACCAGAACGATGGTGAGATGATTGACATTGTGAAATGGTAAGGACAAATTCTTTAAAGGAGTCATGAAATAACGTCGATTTTGATCTCCCGCATTCTCTTATACACAACATACTCACCACCACTAAAACACTATTCCCTCAAAGGCCGAAGCATTTGAGTGCATATGCCAAGGTCCCAACGGTCAGCTTATACAAAACAACCGAGGGTAAATCACTCCTGGATTGGGGCTCCTCTGCTCTATCAAGTTACAAACGCTCAAAGACCGATAAAGTCCTCATTCGGGACTATAAATTACAGCTTTTTGATCAGGGTGCACGTGGACGTCTCGAGCAGGGCTTATATTTGACAGATGTCTTTACACAGTATATTAGGAGTGTTCACCAACATCTCGTTGAAGAAGTCAACAAAACTCAGGTTCTCTCTGCAGAATCCATTCCCATGCATTACTGCATTACAGTCCCACAGGCATGGACATTGCCGACTCGAGAATTAGTTTTAAGATGCTATGTGGAAGCAGGCGTGATTTTACAAACACCAGCACCCAATATGACGGTCATCACTGAGGCAGAAGCAGCAGCGACATATTGTCGAGAACACTGTATCGAATTTGAGTCTCTACGGGATAGCGACATCTTTATGATATGTGATGCTGGTGGTCTGACCACACATGTTACTGCGTTCCGTGTAGATGATTCATTAGGAGTACGCCAGTTTGTGCGTCTATCAAGTTCACATGCCGAAGATTGTGGATCCGTCATGTTAGATCGAAGGTTCAAGGATTTGGTTCTCAGGCGCCTAACAGGATTGGATATTGATGCGAAGCCTCAGCGACAAAAGGCATTCGAGACATTGCTGGAAGGCTTTGATGAGATTAAATCACAATTTGATGCAAATGCCGTTGACGAGGTTAAACATATCTTGGTGCCTATGGGATTGGACGTCAGCGAGTTGAGCCCTGCACCGAGCTGGATGGAGGACGAATACATGTCGCTGAGTGGGAAGGAATTGTGCGAAGAGGTATTTGATCCAGTCATCCAACGAATTCAGAACTTGATCTGGGAGCAGTCCAAAGTTCACCCTGTATGCGCTGTCATGTTCCTAGTAGGAGGACTTGGATCCAACAAATATCTTTATAACAAGTTGGTGCTGGCGGCGATTGAAACAGAAGAAAATCCAGGCGCACATGTTGGCAAGGGTATGATCCAGAAGTTTGTTATGGTTCAAAAGGCAGAGCTGGCGGTTGCAAGAGGTGCAGTAATCTATGGTCTCAAAAGCGCAGCACAACAATCCAAGGCATTCCTGTAAACATAGAAAAATAAAGAGCGAATGCCAAATGAAAGAAGTGTGGTTTTTCTACTGCTCCTTAGGAGACAACAACGAAGAGCACTCATTAGTACTTTCATTGATCTTGTCTCTCGACATACCTCTGATCCGGTTTTAGTTAGAGCTTCAATCTCAAACTCTTCGCTCATGAGTCCTGATTGTATGGACAGTGACATGAATTTCAAATCGTATCTGAACCATGTTCATTAGAGCTTCCCCACTGCTGAATCTCCTCTTAGACCTATTATTGACAACAATGGCAATATGGATTTTTTCCGAAGCACCTTCAGACCATAATACGGACCTGGATTTTGAACCCACTGGCAACATTGCTCTGGATTTAACAGCTTTATGGAGGATATCGTCTGAAAGGACTTTCCATCTGAATCGATTCAAGTGAATCAGTCATTTTCCAATAAGTTAAGTGAAGTCGATACGCCGTAACTTTTTGGATTTTTGGGTCTTCATGGCCACGAGCTTTTACCCACAGAACATGAGTGAACATTAAGTGGATATCATCGTGATAGGCTCGAGTGAGGATATTCTAGCGTTCAAGGGCGGACCCTTCCGTCAGTGTGATCAAGTGGTGACCAAAGACAATGGGTTTAGTATTGTTGAGGTTGGATATGGAGAAAAAAGATGAGTAAAGATGTAAAAGACCTGAGAGCAGATTGAGGCCAGAGCCAAGCAAACAAGATCTTACTGCCTATCTGTTGTGGTCGATGCCCGCTGTTCAACTGTTGAATACAGAAACCTTTGCATGGCGATAGAAAACTTTTATCACTAATCGCGCGTCCATCACGAACAACAGAATGCCCCTTGAGCCAAAAAAAAAAAAAAAAAAAAAAAAAAGCCTCGACCCCTTTTTTTCCCCTCTTTACTTTTTACTGCCATTTCGTCTCTTTGGCATTAGCAACTACATTTTTCACGAAATTCGAATAACGGAGCCCGGCAACTCATCGTAAGGACAAAGCGAGACACTCATCATTCCCAAAGCCATCATGGAATCCGACATGACAAAATACGCGTCCTTGCTTAAGGACGCCAAGATACAACAAGACTCGGGCGATTTAAAGGTATGAGAAGTCTACTTTCCCTTTTATACATAATCGTCAGGCAGAATGAATTCTGCTTCCTTTAATATGACAATGGCGACTTGTATTATCGCAGACGAATAACCATTGTTCTCTACAAACTGAAACTGATATTTGGGAACAAACAACAGAGTGCATATGCGACATATGTGGAAGCACATGGGATCATCTTGCGGATTTTAGGAACGCAGGTTGTCTTCAAAAACCAAGGTAGATTAGATTACATAAGATATCAAAGGATGCAGACAGGCAAGCAGCATAGATCTTGCAACATCTAATTTTTTTACGCATATATTATATACTGTGTTTTCATGATATTTTCATCCATTAGACACAGTTGTGTCAAGCCCTGCTAATTATACCCAGCTCTTTGCTCATGCCCAAGAAATTTTACGCAGGATTAAGGATATTATGGACCAAGCCAAAACCCCTACAATAGCCATAACAAAACTACCTTCAAGAACTGTATCATCCAACTCTGTCGCGTCCAAGCAATCTAGACCTAATGCTTCACCACTGCAATCGACACAAGGTCGCTCAGGCCTTGCCTCTTCACGCATTTCCCAACGTTCAGTTGCCACGACATCACCGCTCAACAAAAGGACCAAGAAGAATATACCGATGATCCCTATCTCGCCTCTAACAAGACAGTACCTCTTGAATTCGTATGCGCTCTCACAGGCCACCCAAAAGTTCGAGCAGGCAAAACAAGGGTCAAGTAGCGGCTCCCACGGCTTGGCTACCTTAAGACGACTGACTGAAGATAAACGAATTCAACAAACCAAAGTAGATGCAATTAATGTCCAAATTCAGTCCGTTGCGGCTTCAACCATCACCTCATGGGATCCTGATATGATAGCTAGGCAGCTAACGATTATTGACACACAGCTCTTTAAGGAGATTGCTATTCCAAAAGATCTCGTTCGTGCTGATCGTAAATCATCTCCCTCTCAACGTTGCATCGATTTTGAGATATATATCGTCCATAGTGTCGCTCATCTTCTGCTTATGGATTGGAATACCCATCGCAATTCTTCAACTAACGGAAGCCCCGCACCAGCTAAGGGCCATACTCCAATACATACCAATGCAGTGGTACATATGATCAAAGTAGCCAATATCCTACTGAATGTTTATAGGAACTTCAACAGCTTTATGGCAATCATGAAGGCGCTTACCAGCCCGGAGATTAAGCGAATGCACAAATCGTGGTCCGGAGTCAACTCTAAGACAAAGGAAAGCTTCAAGCGATTAGTGTCGATTTATCGGGCACAGGATAACGTACAGTGTTATAAAGACACGCTCATGCAGAAACTGGATTCGTTTCAAGATGTTGGAAAAGGAGCACTAATAGCTATTCCTTGGATGAGGTACCATATGGACGAAGTTAAATCCATTATCAACTCATACCTCACAGGACAAGAGTCGACAGGAGGATCAAGTGATATCGTCCTTTCAGCTCCAGGAGCACGCAAGCTGTCAGCAGTATCAGCGCTTTTGAATCAATGTAGAACCAATGGATCAAGCTCCTTTGACCGTCAGGATATGGATGATAAGTCATCAAAATTTCATAACGGAAACACCAAACACCGTGAACCAGTCCAGATTGATGGTATGAAGTTACCTCTAACTCCGATCTTGGACTTGGCCTCTTTGGGCAATGGAGATATTACTCTTCACCACTGGCTCCTCTCGCGCCCTTTCCTCAACAAACAACAATTAATTGATGAGAGTCTTGAAATTGAGCCTTTATTCAACGGTGAAGAGCTACCTTGCTATGAAACGCCTTTGAATAATGAAGACAGCGATGAGTCGACGTCCTTATCCGGAGATAACGTGCAGAATGATTCTTTCGAACATGTTGTTGCTCCAGAGCATGACCTAGAACCTTTAGTGCCTAAGCCATCTCGACCAGCTTTGCCAAGAGCTCCTGTCTCAGAGACAGAGATCAACGATATTATGAGTGAGCTTTTGAACGATGATAGCAATGATAGCAAAGGACTTTTTGACGATCTTAGTTCAGACGATGACGGCAGCGCCAGCTTTAGCAAGATTGGAGACAAACAAGATAACTCGGGATCTCCAGGACGATCACAAGATGTTTTACAGTTCCTAGGGATCAACCCTAACGACCACTCTGATAGTGATCAAGAAGATGGCGGAGGCGATTTCTTCCAAAAACTGACCACAGTGGATAAGGGCAAAGGCAAGGCGAAGGATTTACAGGGTGGGAATGATGACACTGATGAAATCAACAACCTACTTGCTCAGGTCAAAGGTCTGGTTCATGAATCCAAAAATCATATAGAAGAACTTGAATCGGTGGACACTCTGGCAAACCAAGATTTGAAGGGGGAGGAAGAAAGCGACATAGACGAGCCACAGGACAATGAAGATCGAGTATTTAGCACTGGCAGGAAGTTTGAGCCTTTCCAACAAGGAAGTGAGGAAGACCAGTTTAATTTTGATGACGACCAGCCTTCAGTGAAACTCTCAACTACCACTGGCCCCGCAACTTCGTCTTTACTGTCTCTTGAAAGTTTGCGACGGCAATTACAGAGTGTCGGTCAACTATCAGAACCTGTGGAGGATCAAAGAAAGACAGCCTCTGACTCTAGCACATTACCTGGAAAGGATGAGCCAGCGCAAAAAACGCAGCAGGAGAAGAACTCGGCCGAACTTTTTAATGAAAATACGCTCGATCGTACAACGCTGAGCCATGTTGACAAGGATGAGCTTGCTGATCTAAGTGCTGCAAAACTAAATGCACTACCCTCTAACACTATCTTGGTATCTGCTTCAGCCTCTTCCAGTAGCCCATTTATGACTTATATGGCTACCAGATCTGCGGAGTCATTGTCAACATCGCCATCATCATCATCATCATCATTACTTTCCATATCTCCTAATTTTATTGGCAAAGGAAGGCGACGTAAAATCCACACAGATCGCTCAAGTCAATCTGAAAATGCTGGGGAAAAAACACAAGATGTACAAACGACAACTGGCTTCAGTCCCCCTACGCGACCGCTTTTGACCACGTGTAGCTCTAAATCCAGTCTTGTATTGGACGAATCTGATGCTCATCCTGATGCTATTGCTTCTAGAGCTAAGGAATCATTAGTCAACCATGAGGAGATGAAGAATGTAGCCACTAGCGCGAAGCCAGTTGTGGAACAATCGGATCTCAATCCTATCAGCTTGGATCAGAATGAAAATGAAGCTAGTAGTAATGAACATAATGAGTCTGACTCAAACAGCAACATTTTAGAACAGAAAGTATCTATCCAGGACCCGGCAGAAGCACACAATTCAGAGGTGGAGGTCAACAATAAGGACAGTGATAAGAAGCCATTCGGATTGGGAGCAAGTCTTTTAAAGCCTGAGAGGAATGAGCAGGCTGGAGCAGAGGAGGATCAAGAGAGTTTACTTCAATCTACATCGTTGCCCTTGTCGATAGATGGTCCTGAAGAGGGCAAGCAGGATAATCCTACAAAGGTTAAGGAAGGGGAAGAAGGACCAGCTAATCTCAGACTAGCGGGCGAAGACAATCCAGGCATAACTGCCGACAAGAGTCCAGGTGGAGGAGAATCTAATGACAATCGCACTAAAAGATCTCGGCGTAGAATCGCTGGAGGTGTCATTTCTGTAGCAGGACCTGCTGGGTCGGCGTCATCATTGATTTCGAAAGCATCGAATGCATCCCTTTCGAGTGCATTCAAGGAAGGAACGTCTAGTAATCATTCATCCTCCTCAGCGGATATTGATACTACTGCTTCTGTTCCGAGGAGCAACAAGGCAAAACGAGACCAAGAGCACGGTCAGAATGCTGAAGATGACAATGCTTTAGAAAAAAAGGTGGCGGAGGCAAAGACTATTTCTAATGGCGTCGATCATGTGTCAGAGACTCTCCTTGGGAGTGTGGATATAAACATTGTTGCTAGCAACGAGAAGGATGATAAGGATGGTAAGGACAGAGATTAAGATCTACCTTAGGTTCTGCTCATTCCTGTTAATTTATTGTCCACAAGACAAAAATAAATGGGAGATGAATGGACATTTTCTGTTCATCTCCAATTCAGAAAGCAGCATAGATAGAGACAATGAGGAACACATGGTTGGATATACTTCTCCTTTTATACATGGGGCTCATGTTTGTTGCTGCTACTGCTATAGGTCAATGGCCAAGGGTCCATTTCCCCATTGCATTTGATGACTATTGAGATGAGGGAGATATAAATATTTTTTTTTTATTTTTTGTAGATCTATGCATAGGATAGTTTTTTAAAAAAAAAAAAAAAAAAAAAAAAAAGTGTATTGAATACATGTACTGCACATCTTGGTGTCTGGTGTGTTTGTCAATATCTCCTGGCTTCTTCATGTCATGATTTTATTCCTCCTTAACTTTAAGGAATTCATTCGTACATTTACTATTCTTCATTCTCCATTCATTCTCCATTCATTCTCCATTCATTCTTCATTCTCCACTCACTATTACCACCCTCCACTCAATTCAATCTACTCTTAATTTTCAATTTCTTTATTTTACTATTCTTTATTTTACTATTCTTTATTTTACTATTCTTAAAATCATTATATTTTTTTACATTTTTCTCGCGATCTTCCCCTGTGTTCCCCTCTTCCCCAATTGCAACTGCAACGACAATTGCAACGTCGTCTGTGCTTCCCCGCGCTATTCCTTTAAAGTTAATTTTTTTTTTTTTTTTTGTGTCTCCAAAAGTTTTTTTTTGTCCCTGATTCAAATCTTGATCACCACTGCTTTACTTGTTGTTCTCCATACCGAACGCGCATTCATCAAAAAAAGAAAGAAGGAAAGAGTACTTTTCTACTCTGATCTCTTTCCCTGCACTAATAATAACAAAAAAACTGCCATGTTGCATGACGGGCTTTATTCGGCTCCTATTTTGATATATATTTTGACCAACTTAAAAAAATCCTCATTGCTCAAAAAGAAAAAATTCCTTTAAAAAAAAAAAAGGGGAGCGTGTCAAAAAGATGTCGATAATGTTTTCTGAAATCAGGAATGAAAAAAACCATGGGAGTGATGATAATGTTAACGTCAAGGACAACACCACCAACAACGACGGTAGTGGTTTCACGGCTTTATTGTCTCCTCTCACACTAACGCTCCAAGAAGGACACTGTCCCGTTGACAACACAATCGAGTTTGGGCCGAAAGTCCATGAAGATGAAAAGAACATCGATCTTCAAGCTATCCATGTCATGCCCAGACTTAGTCGAGCATCCCCTCTTGTTGAGAGTGATAGAATAGGAAACAGAAGGAGTGGAGGTGGAGGTGGAAGAGGAGAACACGAAGGAGGAAAAGGAGGGCCTTCTCTTGACAATAACAGCAATAACAATCGTCATGCGTACCTACAAACCGCTTTTCAATCAGATAAGAAGAGGAGCTCAAAGTCCAGATTGAGTGGCAGTAGCTTTTTAAGTCTCGACTTTGGGCCAGGAGGAATGGCAGTAGGAGGACTTGCATATCCAGATTATTTAACTCGTCAACAGAATGACAACCTACAAAAGGATGAACGACAACAACGGCAGCGATATCGATACCGACAACAACATCAACGTTCGTCACCATATCCATCGTCAATGACATCGTCTTCCATCATCGAGCCTTCTCATTCATTCTTGGGAGGAATAGATTCTTCAATGTCACATCCTAAACTGGAGAGAGCAGGACCCTATTTGATGGTCGCAGTTTTCCAGGCGTACACGATCCTGACGACCGTTCGCTGCTTTGCAGATACAGCCTGGATTGAATCAGCACCTAGTGATGATAAAGCTGAAAAGGGCGACAGGGAAGATTTAGCACAATGGGGTCTCATCACCAGAAGAGAACGATGGTTTTTAGGACTGGCGATTGGATTTACCTTGATGAGCTGCCTAGGCGTGACCTTAAGAATCATGGATAAAATGACGTGGTTAAAAAAAACGCCTGTGATCTGTACATATTTTCAAGGTAAAGGGTATTTCAGAAGAGAGTTAAAGTAAAAAATAAAAATAAAAAAAAAAGACTAACACTTCTGGGAGGTTTATAATGGGTTTATGGATCTCTAGCTGCGTTCTGTATCGCCGCCATGTCTTCGTTCCTTGTCTCCCACAGTTTATTGCCAGGGACACAATACTCTCATGGGTTCCTTGCTTGTGTGATCGCTGTGGTTCTATCGGTCATTGTGGCCATTATGCTGACTATCGATTGGTGGCGTGGATTTCCCTCCGCTGGATTGTCAGCCACACTCAAGGCATTGATCATATCTTCGTTCATGATGACTATTGTCATTATTATTGGAGCGACCATATACTCTCTGCTTGAAGAATGGACGTTTGATCAGGCCATTAATTTCTGTATAGTTTCTTTCTCCACCATCGGTATGTTCCATTTTTTTTTTTTTTTTTTTTTTTTTCTCTTCTTCACCATACTCCTACCATATATTGTGGTCTACAATACATACTTTGTGATTGAGAACTTGCCAGAAACTAATCGTCATCCCAGTATATTCTTCCTCATTTAAACACTTGAATCTCAGGTTATGGAAATCTCAGTCCGAGTTCAGTTTTAGGTCGAGTCTTCTTTTTCTTTTACGGTCTGTTGGGGGTCAGTGCCACAGGATTCTTCATAATATCACTCCGGAACGCAGTCGTTGAACAATTCCATTGGCATTTGGTTGAAACTTTTTCTCGGCCAGGTCATATGGCCCGAGTTCGAACTCGGATGGGTGAAAAGGATTTGTCGTTTTCAATGGCTCGGTTGGAAGAAGAACAACAAGTCAAACGAACCGTGAAACGCAAGATGATCATGAGGATGGTCAGCATCTGGCTTGTTCTCTGGTTTGGAGGCGCTGGAGTCTTCTGCGCATTTGAGAAGTGGTCATTCCTCGAGTCACTCTACTTTTGTGTAAACATTTTTTTTATTTAATTATTTATTAATGATACTAAAAAATGCCTCTCCTGTCTCAGATTTGACTAACTGACCGATTTTTTTTTTTTTTCCTTTTTTTTTTTTTCCAGTATGTGACCCTCACTACAATAGGATTTGGAGACTATGTCCCTGAAGAACCTGGGTCCATTGAGTTCTGGAACATCTATGTCTTCATAGGCCTCACTATATTTACCTACATCCTTTCTCTGTTCTCAGAGTCCATGGCATCTCATATTCATCTGGTTGATGATGAAGTAGTAGAGGAAGACGAAGATTTATTTGGATGGGAACATTGCAAAGACCCCAGTGTTTCCTCATCTTACTTTGCAAATCCTCTAGGACATGAAGCTACATTAGGGTTGGAAGGCTTGAAATGGACAGAATATCCACAACTACAGCAACGACAGATACAGAAGACGGCTACACGCCCAGAAGAGCTGCTGAACATTCAATCCAATAATGAGCATTCTCCTGTGGCGGTCATAGACACAACAGCACCAACAATAACTCCATCAAGACGGTTTCCATTTATAAATCGAAGAAGGGGAGCTGGATTAATTCAAGATCAGTTTGAACAGCAGCAGCAGCAACAGCAGCAGCAGCAACAACAACAACAACAACAACAACAACAACAATTGTTGGAATACTCGATGGGTCGAACGCTGAACATTTCATCCAAAGAACGTAAACAAATGCTACAAGCAGAATATTATGCTACATTTGGAGGTTATAGCAGTAGAAGCGAGAGCAGTTCCAATCCACCTATAGAAACCAATTGTGGTCAAGAGAGTAGTTGTGTCCCCGAAGGGACGTACACCACGCCTTCTGCGGCCAGGATTGTAGATATGTACAACGTCCTTCAGCAGCGCAGGATCGGCCGTAGTTTGAGTATGGCTTCCAGATTCAATAGTGTCCCCAGTTATGGGATGAGGCCTCGAAGGTCTATTGTCGGGAGCATTGGATCAGCATCTAGCTCTGCTATCTCATGCTCTTCTTCTAATGTATCTAGAGCACTGCATAGCAATGGAAGTTGTAGCTCGCTTCCTGGTTATGTCTATGGGACATCGAGTTACAAAGGCGTTTTAGCAAGACGACATCGCAGAACGCTGTCAGTGTTGGCTGTTGCGCATGAGGTCTCCTTAAACGAAGGGCGAATGAATGTCAACAAAGACATCAGCTCCAATAATGATGGAAACGTTAGCGGTGGTGACGATACTAACGGCCATGAAGGTGGTTATCAGATGTCGCTATCGGAGAGGGCTACGCCTGTGCAACAAAAGCATAACGAATCATTACCTTTGCCATATATCCAAACGAACGCGCTGAAGCATCAGCCGCAAGTCAAGTTCGAATCTCCAGCTGCAAGCCCAAGAGTCACCACACCGATGAGAGGGACTCAACAGGTTCTGTCGTCTCCTTCTCGCCTGTTCTTTTTCGGACAACAACAGCAGCAGAAGCAAGGATGGAATAACAACCATGAGCTGATCGCCACTTTCAAAATGCCTTGGCCTGAAGAGCATGCAATAGGATATCTCAACTCCAATCTCAATTCAATTACGACTGACGCCATACCTGTAATCGGGTCTATAAATCCGACAGTTTCTCACAGCGATCTTGAGGCCCAGGACTCTTGTTTCCCTCTAATGATGATCCATAAGAAGTTGCAAATGATAACGGATCGCGAAACTACTACAGCATCTGAAGAAACAGCCTCTGCTTTACAAATTATTTCGAACGAGCCTCTTACTATCGACCCTCTTCGCCCACCAGTATCGTTCATATCCAGATCGTCACCATTATCACCATCGCTGTCGTCGTCATCGTCAGCTTACTTTATAAGTAACACTCCTACCGACACAGAAATGGATGTTTTCCTTCGTCGGACTTCAGTATCAGCAGCAGTGCCAGACCGATATCGATATCCCAGTATGGGGAGCATGGTCTCTGACTTGGAGCCTATTTCTGAACAATCGTGCTATTCATTACAGTCATCTCCCCCTTCCTCGGTAACCACGATAGGGTCTGGATCAGATCCGATGACGACCGACTTTGATGACAACAGTAATCCGAACGAGATACATTCCCGATATGATTGGAGTTTAAATGTCTCCGTTGTTCCATTACCGAACATTGAGAGAAAATCCGTGCACTTGGATTGTCAGCAAGAAAGACAGCAGCAGCAAGAACAGCAACAGCCACTTCAACCTCCGCTCTCTGGCAAAACAATTTTCTCTCATCCTGGTGTGGAGGAATTATCAGTCTCAAAAAGGAGAGCCTTATCAACATCAACCATCTATTCCTCTTCCCCTTCCTCCTCTGCTTCCTCTCCTTCCTCTTCTTCCGCTTCATTTTATTCATTTTCCGAAGAAGGAATCAAATCATTGGACGAGCCCAACGACCAGACAATAAGCTTCAACTGAACCACGCCGTGCCCAATGTGAAGCAGGTCCTGACATCATATAAAGAGTAGAGAGAAATATTTCGAACGACACCAAGCTGAAGGATCTTATCGGACCTCAATAATGCCATTCAGCCATTTTTATTATAGCTTTTATTATTATTTTCATTGTATCAAAAGACTCTTATTTTAGTTTAGTTTAGTTTATTTTGTTTTATATATTACAGAGTGTTGTACAAATATAATACGTGAAAAAACGGAAACGAAAACGAAAAACAAACACGAATACGAAAAATGAAAGCGAAAACGGAAACGGAAACGGAAACGGAAACGAAAACGAAAACGAAAACGAAAACGAAAAAAAAAACAACAAAAATACAAAATAAATACTCTATAGACTGTAGCTGTAGTGGTTGGAAAGGGCAGGGTGTGTGTTATTGTTGAGAGTTACGATCTCAGTTCAAGAGGTTCTGATGTTACAGTTACTACTGCTGCTTCCAAAGCTATCTCTTCCTCCGTTGCCAAGACAGTGATTGTTGCTGTTGTTGGTACTTCACTATTATACCACCAGCTTACAACTTGGTCTGCAGCCATGTCCAATTTATGCTCCAGACGGTTTCTGATTTTTCGACCCAACCAGCTGTTACCCAAAGTGTGGACAGCTCCTTCAATATTTGGGTATTGATGTAACATCTGGCTCATGCGATGGATAGCAGCAAGTTTTCGCTGTTGGCGTTTTGACAACATTTCCTCAAGTCGGTGCTGCTGCTGCTGCTGCTGCTGCTGTTGTTGTTGTTGTTGTTGTTGTTGTTGTTGTTGTTGTTGTTCTTGTCCTTGATGTTGGACAAGCAACTGCTTCTTTGCCAAATATTTTTGGTGCAACTGTCGATCTTGCTCTTCATAAAATTGTTGAGGCTGAAGTTGTTGTTCTCCATCCACCCCCAAAAGAACCAATCCAAAAGATACACCGTCGATCAACTGATCAATCGTCAGATCAACAATGTATTCCCACCAGGCTTGGAAATGACTCTGACCTGCATCGACAGTCTGGATCCATTGCTTCCATGCGTCCAACGCGATGGACATGAAGATGGACCAAGGGGTCGATGAGCCGCTTGAATAAGCAAGCATCGTTGAGACGTTCGCTGCCATCACTTCACCGCCACATTCATCGATGGCATTGATGTTGTTGTTTTTATCAATCTTATTGATGGCAGTGTTATTATTAGATGAGGATGGGTCTGGTTCATGGAAATATGAGTTTGAATATGAAGGATGTTGCTGACAAGGCGAGGTGGTCAATAGGGTGGTGAAGGCAGTGCTGGAGGGTAGTTTACTGAATGAAAGAGAGCCTGGCTTGTGGCCCAATTTCCTAGTATTGTTCTGCTTTGAAGTAGAAGTAACAGCAGAGGAGGTTGAAGAAGAGCCAATGGCGGTAGTAGTCATCTTCAAGTTCGTCAGGGAAGTAGCATTCAACTGCTTTGGAAGTCGCAGAGTTTCTTCTTGTCCCAACCGCTTGAATTGGTTCTTTCTCCATTCTTTACTGTCCTTCTCAATGGCCTTGTAGGTAGTAGAATTAGTGGAGGAAGATGAAGGTGGAGATGAAGAGGTAGCAGATTTAGAAAGAAGGGTTGAAGAAGATGAAACGTAAGGTTTCTGGTTGATGGTGCCATATGTGGACATCATGGACAAAGCGCTCATGCGCATCTCTTGGATTTCTCCCATCATCAATGGTCTGACCACAAGCATGGGCTGTCCCTTGGAGTGAGTACCCTGTATCTCTACCCAAATATAGTCAAATTCGTCTTTGTTTGGTTGACGGACCCAGATCTTGGTTGCCCTTGCTGGATCGGGTGCAGAGGTGGTTGGATCGACCCATTCTTGATATAGCTCTCCTTGGAACTCAATGACACGCGAAAATCCATTTTTATCCTGACCACTCAGGGGTAACAATACGCTCTCATCCTTCTTTCCCTCCTCAATCTCTTGTCGCCCTCCTCGAGAGACTACTGCTTGTTTTTCTCCCACGCTAGCCTTAATGCTATTGCTATAGCTGTCTGAAGCTCGCCAGCGAACCCTAAATGTTGTTGTGAATGGGGCTGTGCCCAATGAGGAGGAGGATGATGATTTACAAAGTCGGTCAAGACCCTGACAGAGAGCACGCAGATCATCTGGGTGAACACAAGACAAGATAGAGGTGTTGGTGGGAGCTTTCAAAGCGCTGGCAGAAAGAACATTATCGTGGGAAAGTGGTGGATGAGAATAAGTGATGCTGTGCTGTTGTTGTTGCTGCTGCTGTTGGTGTTGTGGTTGTGTTTGGTGCTGATGTATGACAAAAGCATGATCAACCGTACCAAATCGAGTAACATGTAACATAAGCAACCCTGCATCTTGTTGTGTTTGGTGGTGAGCTTTTTGATGCTCAAATGGCATGGTTGAATCAGTATATGATGCAGATGTTGGAGTTGATGAGAGTGAGCACGAAGAAGAAGAAGAAGGAGAAGAGGAAGAGCAATAGGATTGAACAGAAGATAAAGATGTGGAAGTGGAAGTGGAAGTAGAGGAGGATGTGGAGGAAAAGGAGGAGGACGAAGCGGAGGATGATGACGAAGATGAGCGCGTGGGGTGAACATTGACATGCAGGGTTTCAGACCAATCATGAGTTCTGTCCTTTAAATAGAGTTTTTGATAGGTCACGTTTGTGTTGATTGCAAAAGTATCATCGGATACAAGAGACAATGGTGCTAATGAGCCAAAAGACGCTAAAGTGGAAGATGGTGTTCCTGCTTCTGATATCGCCGACGGAGATGACGAAGATGATGATAATGATGATGTGAATGTACATACGGGTGTGGACAATGGTCGCATGAATCGGGAGGATCGTCGCAATTGATACTGTTGTTGCAAGACATTCTCCTGTGCTGCTAGTGCGAGGTCATAGATCTGTGTCACGTCCTTCAACACGAAAATGCGGTATGGAATGTCGTGTTGTTTTTGTTGTTTGTGTTTAACCTGATTGTGATCATTTTGATCTTGACTTGAACTGGGTCTATGACTCTGATCTTTGATTACATGAGAGATCTCTGATGATAATGTCGTTCTGCTAACAGAATGAATACATCCATGTAGTCGCCTTTGAGGTCGGGCGCAACTCAAGCTTGAGCTAGTTCTCCTATTACTGTTACTACCTTTGTTGCTGATAATGTTACTGCATTCATGAAGGATATTTTCAGCGACGATGAAGGAATGGAGAGTGTGTGAGTCAAGTTCATTGCCATATGCTGTGGAGAGATTTGAATTTTGATCAGGCAAGAGAACATGGGAGATATCTTTGCCATGTAGATAGTCCATAATGCGGGCATGCTGCTGTTGGTGTTGAGTCAATGAATCTTCATCAGAGGAACAGTTGCTATTGTTGTTGTTGTCGTTGTTGTTGTTGCAGAAATTGGAAAAAAGATTGAGTGCAGCATGATCGAGAGCGAGGATTTGGTGTGGGTATGTGTTTGTGGTAGTGATATAGGCATAAGTGCGAAGTGGACAGTCAGCAAGGGAATGCATGGTTCAGAAGAAAAAAGAAGGAATATTAAGAGATAGACAGATAGACAGAAAGATAGATAGATAGAGCAGGTAATTGTGCGTATATGTAAAAAGGCAAGGGTTGGAGGAGAAAAGAATGAATGAACAAAAGAAGAAAGAAGAAAGAGGAAAAGGGAAGGAGAGAGAGTGTGTGAAGGATGAGGATGAGAAGACGGAGAAAACTAATTAAAGATCTATGAGAAGAAAGGAATTTGAGAATAACAAAGATCCAACGAGAACTCCAAAAGAGAAAGAGAAAGAGAGAGAGAGAGAGAGAGAGGAAAAGTCGCGTGGATCTTTTACTTTATTTTACTTTTCTATTTTATTTTATTTTATTTTTTTTGTGGGGAGGAGCTCTTTATTTTTCCTTTCTGTTATTCTGTAATGTGATGTTGTTACAAGATGTATGTACATAATATTTACCGAATGTACTGAATACACTTTTAACTCTTGCAGGCAATGCGGGCAATGTGTCACTCTGTCAAAGTAAAAGAAAAAAAAAAAAAAAGACGTGGGGTAAACATGACTTTTAACTTTTAAGACACAACAAAATGCATGCCATGTTTCCAATGATGTGTCTAGTTGAATGTTGGATGGATTGAGACATGAAATAAAAGGACATGTTTGAGTCCTTTGTTATGATTTGGATGGGGGACAGAAGTTGGGGGAGACAGAAGGAGGAATATCAATCAAAAAAGGTGAGGAAGAAAAGAAAGAAAACCTTTTTTCAAACTAAAATAATGGCATTGAAATCAAAAAGTCATGATCAACAAGTTCAATGTCATGAACTTGAGTTTCATGAATGATGCCCAATGGTTCTTTCATTCATCTTTTCCAAGTGTTCTTGGAGATTTGAGACCAACCCCATCAAAATAAATCAAAATCAAAAATAAAATCAAAAATAAAAATCAAAAATAAAATAAAAGAGGATGTTTGTTTTGGTGTAATGATTTGATGCGAATGCATGCGTGTGAGAGCCACGGATATCAGGCGACCCAAAGACATCCTAATTCCTGTTGTCGATGTCATCGATAGTATACATACATTGTATAAAATATACATGGACAAAACAGAAAAAGAGTTAAAATGCCACTGTTGGCATTCCATCTTCCCAGCGAATGTTGTGTCTTTTAAACGATGCCATGCTGTGCCGCGTTACAACTGAATCTCGCTCAACTACACCCCACAGTCCATCCCGTCTATCCCATCCCACCAGCTCTTTGTTTTTAAACATACCTTGCAGGTAAATAAAACAACATGCATATTCTACCAATACATTTAACAAACATGTATAATTTACAGAGGATATAATATGTATATATAATGGGAACCATGTAAATGTTTGTACACAATGTAATACAAATTGTATACTGAATATACTGAATACGTGACTTTTAGTCTTTGTTAGATCGATACTTGGTCTAGGAACAGCCTCAGCCCCCTCATCTTGCACTAGCGCTTATGCTTGAAATATACAGAAATCATTCTAGGTTTAGCATGATGCACACATAAGGTGTCCATGGCAGAACTATTATATATATATACATAAAAAAAAAAAGCATCAGCGCTACCCTGTTGATACGCCTGCATATGATCTTAGCTTTTTTTTCTTTTGTTCACTGTTCCTGACTAATTGCTTATCAGACATATACTTTCTAAAGATTTGTTCTTTGTACTCCCATTCGCATCAAAATCATTGTAAAAAAAAAAAATCTTCCGCGTCGCGTGTTACATGTTTATGACCTTTCCCGTTAAAGTTGTGGTTATTTATCATGGTTTTCTCTCTCCCATCCAATCTTCTTTATTTTTTTTTTTTTTTGCTCTACATGTTTATTTGTACTAGAAAATAATAGTCCTCATGAGATTGATGGAACAAACAGAAAAAAATCCGAGATCGCATACTGCATATATCACGCTCACATAACATCTTGAAAGATCTCTCGCCACCCATTACAAATCACTCATGTTGCGCTATGCATGCAATCTCATAACACGCGTTTACGATCAGGAAAAACAAAAGAAAATCTCCTTATACCATATGATTCAAGGTATGAGAGATCATACATGTATTTCCCCCTCCCCCCCCCAATCCAGAATTAATGCATGGACACAGGAATGGAGTCAGACATGCAAAGTTATTGGTATGCCCAAGTAGGAGAGGAAAAAAAAAAAAAAAAAAAAAAAAGGCGTTAAACGCGTGTTTCTGTTGTCAAATCGTATTCGCGTATTAGTCTTACGTATGGCATAAAAGGGAGTAGATTATGGAGATGGGCGTACACACAGAGGCTTAGCATTACAATGAACTGTTATTGGCAGGGATGACAAGTGTCCAAAACCATTTGAAATATTGAATGTACTCACAACACGTTTCTCTGTCATCAATGTATAAATATTTCAATTGACATGACAGCTTTAAGCTAATGCCCAAGTCAAAGATCTTTTATTAGGTCCATTGCCTAGTCGTAGAGCAGCCCTATTCCAAGGCAAATATCCTCGTAGTTATATATTATATAAATATATAAATCTGTAGAGTGGTGTCTCACTCTTTGAAAAGGTTGGCTCCACGGTGGCGTATGTCAGCTGACCTCTGAGATTGTGCTCTCATCTCATCTTTGGCCAGAAGATCTCCAATAGAATGCCAAAGAGGTACATGCACAACTGTAATAGGCTACGTTAAACTAAGCCATTCAACATTGTATTGTATCTCATGGATTTGGACATGCATGGACTGAACCTAATTCCTCCCTTGTCTTGTTTTTCCCGCGAACGAACATGACGCCTTGGTGCATCAAAAACTGAACACAAATTATACATGTTCCATTGCAGGAAAAAACATGGCAATTTAAACAAACAGAGTATGGATATACTTTTACACTGGTATGCGACCTAGATTCCCAGTGTAGTGGTGCATGGCATGGTCTGACACATCCTTAATTCTATTTTTGATTCATCCTTACAATGTATATTTTTGTATAGATGTAGTAGTTTAAGTTTTTTTTTTTTTTTTTTTTTTTTTTTTTTTTAATAAGGTGCTAGGCCCTGCCAACAGAAGAGGTACTTGGGGTTTCTATGAAGAAGGAGAGCACTCAATGTAAAATTGTAGTGCGTAAAGTTTGGTGGCAAAAAATGGCAATCGATTGTGGTTCCTATGCATATGGCTCTCAGAATTTATCTCTTTTCCTTTGTTGAAACCATTCTCGAATTATGTATATATAACATACTGTACACTCTGCTCAAAGCTAAATATCTGGTTTCTAGAGTTAGTGAGGACACAAAAGGGCGGCCCAGGGATCTGAGCCCTCTGCCATTATGTAGAAATTTCGCTACTTTATGGTGCTCCACTCCACAAAAAAATGGGGTTATGCTTTCAGAAAGTTAGGCATTCAAACACGCAACATAGACACATTCGCTCCTTCGACTGACCGAATGCATTCATATGTCATCGTTCAACTTTAAATTAAGTGTTATCTCTAATCGGTGGAGGACTTTCAACTGATAGCCATGCGAGGTTTATGAATGTATGAATGGTATGTAACCCAATCCCCGATAGGGTTACTTTTTTTCGGTGCGGAACCAGACTTTTTTGTCGCTCTTGCTCTCGCTTTTAATTAAGTCTCATCGCACATGGCTCTGCCACCTCCTTTGATGATCTATCATATATATTATATATATATATGTGTATATCATATTTCGCCCGCCATAAAAAAAATAAAAAAGATTTGCTCATTTTTTTTTGTGAACGATTCAGATAGGTAAGAGCCTTAATTTAAGTGAAAAGATTTTTGTGCGTGTGCGTGCGTTCATTGTTATTGTACAAACGACCTTCATATGGAAATCCAAAACACCAAGAATTGGGGAGCCAAAACAAGATGTCCGGAGAAACAGGAGATTGCGTGGCAACTTATCCATTGTATGTATACCGACTATTGAACCTTCCAAGAAAGAAAAAAGGGTTATAGGCATATCACAATGTTGTAATAGATTCGGTGAGTGCCAAGTGTGATTAATAAAATATAAAGGAGAAAAAAAAGGATGACAGATAATTCCTTTTGGTCGATTTCATCGACAGGAGACGATATGCTGCAAATAAATGAAAAACATCCCTCCTTAATAATTAAAGCCTCAATAGCCTCAGGGATTATTACAAATGCTTCGGTCAACAGCATTACAGGACATGTGTTCTTTTTTTGGAACGCAAGGTTCGCCAAAGGTGCATGGTGACAATTATACTAATGATCACGGTCATATGCGCCTCCACATCCATTCTATTTACGTGATTCCATGACGGTAGCGATGGTGTAAGCATCTCCCAAGCCCAGACTTTTCTTTTATACTTTTTGATGTGGTTCAGACGCTATTTGGGTTTGTAAAATGCATGATCGACAGCGTCGTGCACGTTAGTTCTGGAAACGTGATGCTCTATGCACACGCAACCAAACAAATAGTGTCTGGATTGAGAATTAGGTATTTTTAAATTTCTGGATAAAGCAATCGAGGCATATGAGGAAGTCATTTTCGTTTTTATCTCTGTTGAGGAGTCAGTTCGAAACACCAAGGGCTTCGGATATGATCTCTAGTTGTCCTTTTTTTTTTTTTTTTTTTGGTCGTAATCCAATTGAGAGAGGGAAACCAAATTTTTGAGGCTATATGAATATCATTATGATTGGCTGACAAGGTAGGATTCGTCCTAATAACAGAAACAAATGAAATACAACTGAGGCAGAACACATTCACATATTTTTCGGTGGATAAATGACCAAGAGCATGTGTATTATTGACTGACGAGTTGATTGAGAGCCAATTACGCAAGATTAAACGTGTGAGAAAGAAAACAAAGGTCGTGTCGAATTTGCGAAGCGGCAATGTGCCCGATCCAAAAGAGCATAATGAATTAGGAGACAGGCAAGGATCTCCCTATTCAGCCATGGTTCTCCTCTCTCCTTTCCTTCCTTCTCCTCTTATTCTTCTATTCTTCCTCTACTTCTCTAGTCTCCTTAAGAATTAAAGAACGCTACAGAAGTATACAAAAGTCATGAGTGATGGACCACAGTAGGAGCTCCGTGTGTGAGACAGAGCAACAAACAATGCAGAAGAAAGAAAAAAAGAAGATGGAGAAATAGGAGGTTGAGGGTCCTCTTGTCCTATTTAGTCGCTCAAAAAGCGAGAGTAAGAGAGACAGAGAGCGGAAGGAAAAGAGGAAAAGAGAAAGAGCAGATACTCTTTCGATTCAGGTTCGGAGTGCTTGTCTGCTGCTCTTTATCCATTCATTTTGTACGACCCAGCTAATTCATCCACTCTGTAATTGTTAAATTGTTATCGTTTATTCAACTACCGAAAGATTAATGTAATAATATATTGTTTAGTCTAACGCTCAATTGCAGGATAGAGCGAGTGAATGCAAATGTGGTAAACGAAAATTTGTAAGTTTACTCAATACAAACAAAAACAATCTTATTGAAATCAGATTTAAGTTGCTCTCACTTCTTTGTTCCTGGCCTTGTCCCTTTCTTGTGACACACTAAACTAACAGTGCCCTGCTGCCAATAAAAAGAAATAAAAGCCTTCCAAACAGGAACGCAATGATGACCGAACAAACGCTTGTCTTTTTACCCAACCCGCCTTCCTCTTTCCTTCGGGGACTTGCTTATTGACAAAGAACCATTTTTGTCCGCTTGCCCATTTGTCCATTTGTCCACTTGTTGGGGCCCGTTCATGCACTTGTTCATCCCTGCCTCCTAATTTAAAACAGTCTCCTTTTCTTTTCTCTTCTTGTCCATTGCTTGAAGGAATCTGTTCTTCCTTTCTTCTCTTTCCTTTATCTCATTCATCACTTGCCATCTATCCAGTACAGTACGTCTATGTCCCTTGCATCAACATTATATTTTACACAACAGCATTCTTTTTTTATTCTCTACTTCCATCCTTAGTCCTTTATACGTATTCTCTCTTTCTCTAATTCTTTCTTTTCTTTTCCCTCCTCGACCTGTCTTTGTTCCAATCTGCGTCATCGTCATTCTTCGTCTTGATTATTAGGTTGATTTCATTCTCCCAGCCTGGCACGCTCCCCTTTCCTTCTTTCCTCCCCCCCCTTTTTTTTTTTCTTCGCCCACTCACATAAACACTTTACATACAAACACAATACTCAGCTACATCTTTACTTTCTTTCTCTTTCCTTTCAGCCAGACTCCTTCATTTCTCATAGCTACTTCACTGCATACATAAAATTTGCGTCAGTTAGCAATTCAGCTTCAGTGAGAGAAAAACAAAAAAAAAAAAAATTAACGGTCAGGGTCCAAGCTCAGGAGAAGTACATCGTTTCCCGTCGGACTTGGTGCAACTCAGCCGATATCACTCTATTAATATTCTGCATTACGCACTATAAGCTACTACAGCAGCCGTTGCAGATCTTCAGCTTCGACAGCAGTTATTGTCTCCTTTGTCAGTAGAAAGGAAGCAAGTTGATTCAGTGAAAACTGATTAGATCCATCGGAGGTTGTGCATTGCTAAGCAACGTTACATTTCAACCCTTACAACAGCCTTGTTTCATTCCGCCACTATGCATAAGGGACATTCATCTTCAATCAGGTAAAAAAGCCGAAAACAAAAAATAGCACTAGTTAAAGACGAATCATCGATCGTATAGGATGCTGCACATAACATGCAACTGTGCATGCTTAGTTATGCTCGAAGGAATGGGTAATAGGCAGGGGGTAATTGGCGGGAGAGAAGTGATGGGCGGGAAGAAGGGAACCACTAGACATCGGAATTTGCCCGACCTGCATGTCGCTTTTTTTTTTTTTTTTTTTTTTTTTATCACTGTCTGTCTTGATATGATGTTGCCCTGTGCTCTTTCTCTTCTTGTAAATGAAGATGGAGAGAAACTGCTCATCACTCAATGCCACGTTTTTTTTTTTGTGATCATTGGTTTTTCCAGGTATCATTGGGATGTGAATGCTGCTCAATTTATTACAGCAGCCAAATGGCAACAAAAAACAAACAAACAAAAGATTCTGGGTTTTGATGTAGTTATACTGGCAACAAATATATTTGAGAGGGATGATTTGAAATGATAGAGCCATTGTAAATCAGGACTAGCCCAAAAAAACAAAAGTACAACCAGGGGTTGATCCACAGTAATGATGAGCTGAAAGCTTAATGACATTCATTTGGCATGCAAATAATGCAACCGAATGTATGCAAAAGCTGAATGTATCTCTCCGGAGCATTTCTTTATTTGCCCATTTCACTTACCATCATGCAGAATAATGTAATGCATTTCATCAATCTGTTGTTGTGTTGTGTCTGAAACAAATATAATAATACCTAGACGCGTTATTAATTGAGACATATCTGAATGGTACCTATCCATATTTTCGATTATACTTATACTTATTTTATTTTATTTTATTTTATTTTATTTTATTTTCCATTTCCCATATTAGAATAAATAGCAGTGTTAGCAAAGCCGACATGATGCCCGTCATGGATCTGATGCCTATTCAGTTCTCGCACAAGGTCATCATGATGTGTATCGAAGAGATCAAAATGCGAGGTATGCTTCTTCCTTTGTTCCATCCCCTTGCTCCATCTCCTTTCTCCCCCTGTTCCTTGGACCTTGAACCCTGCATTGTATTTTATGCCCAATGTCCGTTCCATCTTCGTGTGCTGGAAACAATCATACCATGCTCTTTCTTTTTCATTTTTGTCTTTCATCCTCTTCACAATGATTTTATTTTTATTTTGTTTTTCCAGGGTATTTGTTTATTCCGTCAACGCCCATGCGCGTGGCACACAATTAACCCAGAATTTGTTTGGCTTGATTCGTATTTTGAAGTCTTCCCGTCGCGTTCCGTTCTGTCACACGTGCCATCCATTACTGCATTTGCATGTATTCTAATGGTACACAAACATCATTGCAATAACTCACGCACAAACAAAAAATTTTACCAAATTTCCAAATTTACACTCATGCAGGTCTCAGGCATCCACACCTTTTTCGTAATCCTTTCCATGTCCCCTCGGTCGAAGCGGGACTCTCAATGTTGGCGAACCCACGCAAGAGTCATCTGTTTTCAGTCAAGATGATGCGCATCGACACTGTCGCAGGATTGCTCACTACTGCACTCTCCAGGACATATCCCCCACTCATTCCACCACATATTCAGGAAATGTTTCAGAATCCCAACGGTAATTTTTTTTTTTTTTTGTTCAGTTGGGGCTGCGTATGCGGTAGTCCTTCAGTGCCTTGATGCTGTGCTTGTATTTTTATTATATTATTATTTATTATCATATAATGGTATTATCGATCTTAACACTGTCATGATTGTATTCGACGTACTTAAATTAGGCCGCTTCTTTTTCGAATTGTTGGGCATGCTTCCTGAATTGAATCGATACCTTTTTGTTGAAATTCTTGATCTTTGCTGTGCTTTGGTTGATCAGCAAGCATTCAATCAAATCTCCCACAGCAAACTAGCTGTCTTCCCTGGATCATGCTGTTTTGGTCTTAATGAATTCAAACCCAACTGGGACACTCGACATTTGATGGGGGCTGACCTTCGCCGGTTCTCAAGCGCATTTTACCATGCAATCTACGCATACCGTGAGGAGCGTGACTTGACTGAAGAGCAACTTCAAGAGAAATTGGATACGCGCGCCAGAGTCTTGGAACAGGAGCGAATCGCTGCACTGGAGCGCGAGCATGGATACAAAGGTGCTCAAGCTATTTTGAGAATGGAGGCTAGAATTGCACAAGGTCTGCCTGCGGAGTCACCCAACACTATGAAGGAGATTGATCTTTATGCTGACAGGAAAGAGAAGGTAGTTGCAGATGATGCCATTTCTATTCTGGATATCAAACTTGGTGAAGATGACGATGAAGACGGCTCGAAGGTCCCAGGTTTGGCTCACATCCGGGAAGAAGATGAGGAGCCAGAGGTCGAGAATGTACAGGCAGTTATTCGAGATTTGCGAAGGAGTGTCTCAGTGGCATCGCTTGGAAAGTCCACATACGAGAATCAACCTCGGCTCCCCATATCTCCTCCCCCCGCACTTTCACTCGCAGTCTCAACTTCGGGGCGCAAGGGATACATGTCACCCGTCTCACCAATATCACCCACTACTCCCATGTCACCCAAATCTATCTTTTCAGGCACTGGTTTCTTGTCACGATCCAACACTCTTGCACGGTCTGTCTCGCTCAAGCTTCACCCTGTCTCACCCGGTGACATTTTTGGTATCAGCCAACGTGCGGTTGAGAAGCGTGAACTTGAGGGCTTCTTGGCTGTGGCTCGTACGGTCACTGTGAAGAGACGCAGAACAGCCTTTAATAAGAGGGCGCTTCAGCAGCGCCAGGCGCACAAAATGCGTATCCTAGCAGCAGCAGCACCAACCTCAAATCAAATTCGCCCCTTATTGGTAGCCACTATCTCGACAAAATCGATCCGAACTCTTCGTCGGCATCATCGTTCCCATAATACCACTACTGTCACTCCGTTGTCTGGCACAAGCATGCAGGGCTGCCCTCCCGTCCCCACTGCTGCGGCTCTTCGTCGTGAACGCGCCAAAAAGTTCCGCAAAGAAATTGAGGCCTATAAGGCGAAGGGTCTTTCGCTCGATGAAGCCATTCAAGCTCGTGATGCAGATATAAAGCAAGCTCGACGTCGTGAGCGACGCGCCAAGCGGGCTGCTCAGGCCAAGGCAGAAGCAGAGCGTGAAGCAGCAGCAGCAGCAGCAGTGGCAGGCGCCATTGCCCAGCACGGTGGACTGATCATTGGTGAAGGTATAGAGTTGACATCGGAGGAGGCTGAGATTCTAGAGGCGTTTGATTACCTAAGCGACGAGGAGTTTCAAGAATTCAAGGAGTTGGCCGGATTGACGGACGAAAATATCAAGGCCATTCAAGCCAAGGCCGCAGCTCTCTCGTTAAGCAAGGTTACCCAGGAGATTAAAACCGCACCCATCCCTGTAATCTCGGAGAGCGTGCAAATGAAGAGAAACAGCTTCATTCCGGCTCAGACTACAGTTGTTGACACACTATCTGAGCAGACTCCTGTGGAAGAAAGCGAAACCACGAGCCCCCATACCACTGACGACGTTGACGCACAAGGCAGCAGCAACAACCGACCTTTTAATATCCGACACATGACTTCAATGGACATGATGTTTAAGCACGCATCTGTAGTAGGTGATGCTAATCTGCGTCTGTATCCAACACGTCCCTCGAGCCCTACAATTTCAGACTATGAATCTGACTCTATGCACGGAGGCCTTCTCTCGCGTGCAGCGTCCGTAATGCGAAGTCGTATGTACAACGATGACAGCGAAGAAGTCGAAGATGACAATAACACTGGTGACGATGAAGATAGCAATTCGGACTGCGCTAGTCCTTCAGCCTCTACCCTCCTCCAGCCGGCTACATTAGCGCCCCCTGCGATCCCATATACGACGCGCCCTAACGCCACCTTGAAGGATGACGCGCAAGAAGTTCAGGAGGAGATTGATAGCCACCAACACCATTTGGTACAGCAGCAACAAAGCAACAGTTCATTCGTATTCGAGGTTGAGGAGACTGTTGAGTCTGAAGAGGAGGCTGAGCTCCGTGAGTTGCTCGAGTCCATGTCTCCGGAAGAACGAACCGAGTTCTTGCGTCTGTCGAATCAAGAGGCGATGGGCATGTCCATGGCTTCAAGTGTGCTTGTCCATCCTTAAAAAAAAGAGATTTTTTTTTTCTAACCCAATTTCTACACCCATTTTAATCAGCTAATTACTCGTAATGCCTTTAATACTGTTCATAGTCAGATTCCCCCCTTTCATATTTTTATTTTTTCATCCCTCTCAAATTTAACGAAAGTGCTGTGATTGTAAAAGTGATGTTTTCTTTTCACACAGCTCCGCCAATTTTATCCTTTTGTTCTCTTAATGACACCACGAAAAAAAAAAAAAAAAAAAAAAAAAAAAATCAATAAAATCCATTTCATTCTCTAAATGTCTTTGTAAGCTTCCGACTCTAGCATATTCCAAGAGAAAAGGCAGGTAGAATCCTCATTCTTGACTTTCCACACTACTCTTTTTTAAGTAAAATAGCAGGCAGATTATTCAACATGCCCAAAATTTTTATATTGTTTTATTGAAAATAAAAACCTGCGTCCTTTTCCTCACTTGGCAGGGTTACCGAAGATATTATTCAAACTCAGTTTTGGGCAACGCTGAATATTAAGAGTACACTCGATCCTTCATGGGTTTTTTGTAGGCAAAAGTCCGTTCTTGATGTTTCATGTCTTTATTATAAATCTACCAATGTAAGCCTAAAGAGATCGAGCTGAGCAGATTGAACAATGAGGTGTAGAATAATTGTGATCCAAAAAAATAATTAACACACGACTTTGTACTTCAACGCAGGAGTGTAGGATCAACAAACCAAACTACAGAGCATTTATTAGCCTGTACGCTTGTTGGCTATCAACAATGAGACCTCCACATTTGGTTCCGCTATCTAAGTTGTGCACAAGAACACTATTCACCGGATTATCAGGTTCCGCGTCAATCAATTTAAAAATGGTGCCTAGAACCAGCTTTTTGACGCGTTAGATTTTTTGAATATTAATTACGTCACGTCGTCACGATTTAATTTATTGTTTCCGGTTCATTCCATTGGGAACCCTTTCTTTCTTCTTTGCTTAGCAACTGCCGCCTCCATTCTCTTCTCCATTCGGAATCGTCTCCGTCTCCGTCTTCTCATTACCCTTATTTTTTATCTTGTTATATTACTTCCTTTTGTTCCTACTCTTTCATTTTTACATCTGTACATTCAGTTAATTAATCCAATTGACAACAATGGCATCAAACGCCGTGCTTGTTATCACTAAACGCGTCTCGCCTTCAGTTGACTTGCTCAGGCTGGCCTTGCCGCGCAGGACTGTCAACCCAACGCTTGGTCAGTCCGTCACTAGAACACCCCCATCCTGGTCTGTCTTTGATGGCCATCTCCAACCTTTCTCCACCATATCGTCGCCTTCGACTGCGCATCTGATCAATGGGCGCTCCAAGAACCTTCACAGCCTCGCTCAACTAAAAAGACAACCGCTGCTGCAAGGAATCTCTCATGGACATAGCCAAACAAACCACTTCCTTTCCACTAAAGGCTTGACCTTCTCTAGTCGTTCCTTCTCGAGCACTGTGCGCATCCTCAAGGACAAAAATGACAATGCTAATAAAGGCGATGATGGCAAGAATGGATCAGATGGTAAGGACTCTGGGTCCGGATCAGAAGGTGGTAGTTCTGGGTCGGGATCAGGATCGGGGTCAGGATCTGAGGGTAGTGGTAGCGGTGGACGTGGTGGTGATCGCAAAAATACCAAATTTACGTTTGAGGTTGGCTCAGGTGGGATCCTTGATAATGCATTGTCCAAACCAGCCATCCCTGAGGTCTACCCTCAGGTCTTGACGCTACCAATCGGCCGCCGTCCTTTGTTCCCTGGGTTTTACAAAGCAGTTGTGATCAAGAATCCAGTTGTAGCCAATGCAATCAAGGAATTAATGAAACGTGGTCAACCCTATGTGGGTGCATTCTTGCTTAAGGATGAAGAGTTGGATATTGATACAGTCACTAGCATGGATCAAATCCATTCTGTCGGTGTCTTTGCACAGATCACAACAATCTTCCCAGCCAGTCCCGGTAGCGAGGAAGGATCAATCACAGCTGTGCTCTATCCACATAGGAGGATCAAAATTAAGGAGCTGCTGCCGCCTCTGATTATGCCTGACGGGTCAGAAGCCCCACGTGAGGGTTTGATGGTTAAGGAGGCTGGCGAAGAAGGTGCTGATAAGGCTCAATCGCAAGCGATTACCATAAAGGTAAATGATGATTCAACTACCACCATTGCGGCTACTGCAGCAGCTTCTTCAGAGTCATCATCAGCATCTCCCTCCTCAATCGATTCATCATTAACTGATCATGAAAAGGCTTCAGGATCGGATCCAAACGTGGTTGAACATAGCCTTGTAAGTACTCCCTCTCCACATTTGCCGACAGCGTTCTTGGCCAAGGATTATGCGGTGACGTTGGCGAATGTCGAGAATATGATCGATCTACCTTACAATCGCAAGAATCAGGTTATCCGTGCTATCACTTCAGAGATTGTAGCCGTCTTTAAGGACATTGCTGGTCTGAACCCATTGTTCCGGGATCAGATTGCCAACTTTTCCATGTCACAGTCTGCAGGCAATGTGTTTGAGGAGCCAGCCAAGTTGGCGGATTTCGCAACAGCGGTATCACAGGGCGATCCAGAGGAGCTGCAGTCAGTCTTAGAGTCATTATCAATCGAGGATAGGATGCAAAAGGCATTGTTGGTGTTGAAGAAAGAACTGATGAATGCTCAACTTCAGAGTAAGATCAGCAAGGATGTTGAGAACAAGATTGCGAAGCGTCAACGAGAATATTATCTGATGGAGCAGCTCAAGGGCATCAAAAAGGAACTTGGAATTGAGTCTGATGGTAAAGATAAGCTCATTGAGAAGTTTAGAGAGAAGAGTGTCAAGCTGGCTATGCCTGAACAGGTCAAAAAGGTCTTTGATGAGGTATGAGCATATCAAGACTATTTTTCCTTCTTTAATGGAATCTTCTTTATATCAGACAAGCAAATGCTTATAGTATTGTTAACGTTTTTTATTGTTATTATTATTATTATTATTATTATTATTATTATTATTATTATTATTATTACAGGAAATTACAAAACTGGAGCATTTGGAGCCAGCGGCATCCGAGTTTAATGTGACAAGGAACTATTTGGACTGGTTGACTAACGTACCATGGGGTGTGCGATCACCTGAGAATTATGATATTCGCCATGCGACACGTGTATTGGACGAGGATCATTATGGATTGAAGGATGTCAAGGATCGCATTCTGGAATTCATCGCTGTCGGCCGCCTTCGTGGAACTGTTGAGGGCAAGATCATTTGTCTTGCTGGACCACCAGGTACGTTTTCTCTCCTAACAGCAACAGAGAGGGGGTTATTTTTTATTTTTTTTTTATTTTTTTTTTTTAATATTACTAGATCATTTTCAAATCGTTGATTAACAAACTTCATTATTGGTTAATGATGTCCTTTATCTTCTTGGGAACTCGTACATTTCTATTAGGCGTGGGAAAGACCTCGATTGGCAAATCAATTGCGCGTGCATTGGATCGTGAGTTCTATAGATTCAGCGTTGGAGGCCTCACTGATGTGGCTGAAATCAAGGGTCATCGTAGAACATATGTTGGAGCCATGCCCGGAAAGGTTATTCAAGCCCTCAAACGGGTTCAGACTGAGAATCCTCTTATTTTAATTGATGAAGGTAAAGAAGAGCCGTATGATTAATTCGCTAGTTTTTTGTGAACTTGTGCCTATTAATATTAAAATGCTATGTACCGGAAATATGATGGATGCTATAAATAGTGGACAAGGTTGGACGCGGTCATCAAGGAGACCCAGCATCTGCACTATTGGAGCTGTTGGATCCTGAACAGAATGGGTCCTTTTTGGACCATTACATGGATGTGCCGATTGACCTTTCCAAGGTTCTCTTTGTCTGCACGGCTAACGTACTTGAAACCATTCCTGGACCTCTCTTGGACCGTATGGAGGTTATCCAGCTTTCGGGATATATCTCTGATGAGAAAGTTGCAATTGCTTCTCGCTACTTGGCGCCCGCTGCTAAGCAGGCAGCAGGATTGGAGGAGGCCAATGTGACACTGCACGATGATGCTATCGAGGCATTGATTAAGAATTACTGTCGAGAGTCCGGTGTTCGTAACCTAAAGAAACAGATTGACAAGGTCTTCCGCAAGGCTGCGCTACAGATTGTGAAGGATTTGCCAGATGTTGAACGTGTTACATCTACATCATCATCGAAGAAGGCTGAGGATAAAGAAGAGACTAAGAGGAAGAAGATTGTGAAGGAAGACAAGAAAGTAGATGAAGAAATTAAACAAACTGGTGACGAGATTCTGGCAGGTATTATCAAGCAGGTTCCAGACGAGAAGCTGATGGACGATGAGGAAGCTGCAAAGAACAATAAGCAATCGGAGAAGGACAGCAAAGAAAAGAAAGGCAAAGGCAAGAAAGGCAAGGACGATGACAAGAACAAGGATAGTGACAGCCATAAACCACCCAAGCTCCAGGTCCCTTCCAACGTCCGTGTTGACATCACGGCAGACAATCTCAAGAGCTATGTTGGTCCTGCCGTTTTCCAAGCAGACAGACTTTATGAGGCCACACCCCCTGGTGTGGTCATGGGCCTCGCCTGGACCTCCATGGGAGGATCTGCACTCTATATCGAGTCATGTCTCGATGGTAGACTGTCTGAAAAGTCACGACCCAACTTTCTGAGGACGGGTCAGATGGGCGATGTGATGAAAGAATCGACTTCAATCGCATACACTTTTGCGAAGAATATAGTTGGCCGTCGCTTCCCTGAGAACCGATTCTTCAACAAGGCTGCGATCCATCTCCATGTCCCCGAGGGTGCTACGCCCAAAGATGGTCCATCTGCTGGTATTACAATGGCAACATCTCTGTTGTCCTTGGCACTTAATAAGCCCTTAGATCCTACGATTGCTATGACAGGAGAGCTGACTTTGACTGGTAAGGTCCTCAAGATTGGAGGACTTAAAGAGAAAACTATTGCTGCCAAGAGGTCAGGTGTCAAGACTTTGATCTTCCCACAGGCTAACTTGCCTGATTGGGAGGAGCTGCCCGAAAATGTGAAGGAAGGGGTGACAGGTGTGCCGGCAGCATGGTATGAAGATGTTTACAAGGTGGTGTTTGGTGACTCGATCTCAGAAGAGGAGGGCAATTCTATTTGGAATAAGGAGCTGCCTGGTAGCGAAGATGCAGAAGACGTTATCGATAATCGTGAGCCACGCAAGGATGAAACACACAAGAAGAAAACAAAGACGAATCAGATAGATGAGGGCATACCTACAAGTGTTAGCTGGCGTAAAATGCTGAGCTGGTGAGCGGGACAAAAAAAAAAATGTGTGTATCAATATGTTTACAGTTGTATAGAAATTTGTGAGTGCCCATCTACCCATTAAACGTAATACCCACCCGTTATTCAAAATATTTGAAATGAGCAAAGGATAAAACCAGTTTTTTATTAAAATATCTATGTTACATTGAATGGTCCATAATTTCTTGTTAAGAAGTTATTTCGACAATTTGATAGCTGTCCACTGACTTCAGCCGCTCCTTTGGCATCAAGGGATCGATAAGTTGACACCAGCATAGATGACACTGCCATGCAGTTTTGTGCCCCATTGGTAGCTCATCCTTTGCGGGGCTCTAGTGGTTTGAGCCCTTGAAAATAAGAAGCGATTGTCCCCCAGCCACGTCCCCTGACCGACCTCAAGTCTCCTTCCCAGTGACAACCTGCTCTTCTCAGGTAACCAAACTGTAGTGGCTATAGCGTGCTTATAATGCGTCTCAAATACACAACCACAAGGTGTATGAGTTTCTCATGGCGCCAGGAAGTCGATTTGTGGGTTTGATAGTATTATTGTCTTGTATCAACAGTCATAAATGATATCTGCATCCATGTTAAGGTATGCTCAATGTTCCACACAGGCTGTTACGGATAACCTACGTTGAATTTTATCTGCGATCATCCCCCAAAGGCCTTACTCTAGATGCGTATCTTGGCCTAAAAGCTGGTCACAGTATTTTATAGCTGTCTACAATTTGAGAGGTCCCTGCTTTGTGAAATTGTAACGCTGCTGTGAGGCTGGCAAAGTGTCCTGAAGACGCCATACGCATCTGTCAAATCATTTCGGACCTATTGCCAGGACAGGAAATTATTTAGTTATGCTCCCTGTCTCGATCCTTCAGGTGTTTGATTGCATCCAGTAAATCCTGAGATACGGCTAAAGTCAGGACATGTCCTGTTCAGCTTCGGCCCATTTAGCTGTAAGATGGTGAACAGGCATATTAAGCTACTTCCAACGAGCACAACATTCTCTCACAGCAAGGATTCTAGAAAGACGAGCCGTTCCCTTTAATGGTGATAGTAGTTCCTTGTCAGGGGTGCACCGTGTTTAAGGGCTTGTTGGGTTATAATTATTTTCTGATCAAAGCTTCAAAGAGGATAATTGCGGGCGAGGTGAGTATATTGGTGACGGAGATAACTGACAGTGACTTCTTGGACTTTTTGGGGTGCGGGTTGTTTACTTCTGGTGGAGGCAGCGGAAGAAGGGGGAGAGAAGGAAGAAAATGTAATGGATGTGTTGCGTGGAATCGACAAGAAGTTTAAGAAACGGATGAGATCCCATTGGCCATGACTATATTTGTTAAAGAGCTCCTGAGAACGTAATCCATTTGCTGGCCTTACTGTTCTTTTGACCAATAAGCATACTACTGCTGGTAGCATTTATACCACAAGTGGTAATGTTTTCTCGAAATAACAATGATCTTCATTTCCTGTTCATTTTCATGCATCGTCCGCTTCTAAACCATGACATTGTCTTCACCATCTTTATCTCGGCTGGTGTAATTGCTGTGATGTTCTATACTAATGTGATCGAAAGCAGCAGCAGCCATAGTAGGAAAAATAATAGTATTATCAAGCCGAGACTAGTTTTTCCATTTCGCCTTCAGGGTGAGTGATTGTATTCCTAACTTCTTTGTAATCTATTTTCAAGATTTGCTCTGACTGACAAGCTCATTACACGTTGAGACCAAGGTGTGTGAAAAGTTGAATCCAAAGCAGCATATTAACGTAAGTAACAGGATGAATAGGGTCGATTGATGGCTTCGTCAATCACGGGCCGGCTCTTACCAGCCCGACACATTTCAATGATGATTCGATTGTCAATATCATTCCATTTGAACCGATCCTGTCCCTAAGTGCCTCTGTTTCTTTCCGATACAGTAGTTTTAGTCTGCTCAATCTGTTCAGCTTGTTTCAGAAGAGACATTCATCAAACTTGATCTTCCACCTTGAAAATGATCCATCCTCGCTCAAGTGATGGACGAAGGACATGAAGGTGTCGAGAAAAATAAGTGGTATGTGGTCGATTGATCAACTGAGCAATAATACGCCAACGAACTTCGTGATCAAGACTTAGTGTCAGGGGTAGAGTATTCAGTTGTAGATCCCATTATGGAAGGTCCTCTTTTCCTTGCTTTCAGTCCTTTGTTTTGGTAATGATGACGTTGACGATGACATATGAGAATAGTGTTATCACCGGTCGAATTACTACATAGGAAGTCGAAGCATGTAATTCTTGAATTGAAATTAATGGGAGAAGGGTAATTGATCTTTGGGGTATTTACACCATGAGTGCTCATGAATTTCTGATGCGTGTGGCTGAATTATTGCATGACCTTGTAAGGAGCATGATGGTAAAATGATATGTCTCGACTGAATATTTGCATCATGATAAACAAGACGTTAAACCGCTTCGAGGCAACTGCAATACTACGATTCCAGTATCCCCTGCTACCTGACACGAATGACACATGGATACAAGGAATGAATCCTGTGAAAGGATGGCCCGCTGCATGATTTCATTCCAAGCAAAGAATACAAACAAGAGCTGTGCATAAGATCGAAAGGAACAGTCACAAATATCAACAAATAAGTTGGACAAAGTACACAAAAGGACAAACCCTTATGCCTTCCCGCTTCCTGTTTGCCTTTGCTCCAGCTCTTCACAAACACTTCACCTTTGCTCCTACTAACATACAAGTAAGACAGGCCTTCACTTCACTGGAAAAGACTGCAATGGGTCGACGATTTTCAAAGAGGAAGAATGCAACTCCTCGTAAGGAGCGTGATCCCAGCGAGGGCTACGCTGAGGTCAAGAAGGAGAATGAGCAAATGGAGCAGTACTACAAGGCACAAAAGATTATGTCCGATGAGGAGTGGCCCATCTTTTGGGAACATCTCAAAGTTACCCTCCCTACTACTTTCCGTATTACTGGTACACGCAGGTAATGATCAGCAACTAACTTTTTTTTTTTTTTTTTTTTTTTTTTTCATAAAAAAATAAAAAAAAGACTACCGCCATGTCATTACTGGAACTGACGTTGTGTTTGACTAATTTCGGCCTGTAGCCATGCTGTAGAGATCCGTGACACAGTCAAGAATGCTTTTGTTCCGCACTTGGCCAATATTTCAGTCGATGGTGTCGTGGCTGATCCTCCTCGTCCTTTGCCTTGGTATCCTGATGAGCTCGGCTGGCACTTCGATGTCTCACGTACTCTGCTGAAGAAGAGTCCCGAGTATACTAAATTTCATCAGTTCCTCGTCGCTGAAACAGAGGTCGGCAACATTTCGCGTCAGGAGGCTGTCAGTATGATCCCCCCTCTTCTCTTGGATGTCCAGCCTCAGCATTGGGTAAGTCAAGATCTGGATTAGAGGCTTTCATACTGTAGGGCTATTGGAGATCAACTTAACTAGTTTGAATGCGGTTCAAGCAAAAAAAAAAAAAAAAAAAAAAAATCTTTATTCAGTATTATGATGAAAAATTGACTTTGAAAGCGTTATACATACTTAGGTCATGGATATGTGTGCTGCTCCTGGATCAAAGACTGCCCAGATTATTGAGATGGTTCACGCCAATGAACAATACAAGGTCGTTCCATGTAGGTGTCATGTTCTTTTTCTTTTTTAGGAGGGCGTATTTTCTTGACAAATTTGAGCTTATCCGTCATCCTCTCTAACACAGTGTTTTCTTCGGATTCGCATGCTTCACTTTCTTTTTTTTTTTCTTTTTTTGAAAAAACTGACAGCTGGATTGATTGTGGCCAATGATGCAGATTACAGACGCAGTCATATGTTGATCCATCAGACCAAGCGTCTTCAGAGTCCTTGTTTAATTGTCACCAATCATGATGCCTCACTGATGCCCTCTTTGAAACTTGCGCCAAACAAAGCAGGCGATATTATTCCTTTTGAATTTGACCGTGTCTTGGCAGATGTTCCTTGCAGTGGCGATGCTACTCTGCGTAAGAATCCAATGATCTGGACTAATTGGACTCATGGAGGCGCTATGGGACTTCATCATACCCAAGTCAACATTCTACAGCGTGGCGTTCAGATGCTAAAAGTTGGAGGACGCATTGTTTACTCGACCTGCTCGTTTAACCCTATGGAAAATGAAGCTGTTGTTGCAGAGATTTTGAACCGTGCGAATGGAACATTAGAACTGGTGGATGTCAGCAATGAGTTGCCCCAGTTGAAGCGTCGTCCTGGGTTGTCAGACTGGAAGGTCTTTACGAAGGATGGTCAAATAATGGAGAAATTTGAGGACATTCCAAAGGATGCCAGAGGCAGATTTTATCCAAGCATGTGGCCACCTAGTAATGCAGACAATTTACACTTAGAGAGATGGTACGTAGGAAGGACTTCGAACTACTAATACTCAATTGGTCAGAACTTTTTTTTTTTTTTTTTTTTTTAGTCATATCACTAACGTATGCTAAATATTGTCGTCTTCATTGTCTAGTCTTCGAATTTATCCTCACTTGCAGAATACTGGGGGATTTTTCGTCGCAGTTTTCAAAAAGACAGCACCATTCGTTGTCCCCAACTCCTCTCGATCTGTGAAAGAAAAGGTGGCAGTACAGGAAAATGAGAATGCTATGGCGTCTGAAGGAGAGGAAGCTGCTGCCGTTGCAGGAGATAAGCACAAGCTAGATTCATCTGCAGCTGGTGGCCAGGGTTCAGAACCTGTAAAGAGAGCTCGTATGACACGTGCCGAGCGATTTGGTGCCCCTGGGCCAAAGGAGGAGCCATTTTTGTTCTTGGATGCTGAGAATGGGGATGTGGAACTATTTTCCAAATTTTATGGACTGGATGAAGATTTTCCAAAAGACCAGTTTTTAGTCCGCTCAGAAGGCGAGAAGAATAAGACGATCTACTTTGTTAGTGAGGCTGTCAAGAATATCCTCAAATCAGAAGACATTCATCGTTTGAAGGTAAATGATACAAGAAATCAAATGCGTTATCGCCATTTTATGGCGAGAGCAATTCACTGACGACATTCCTCTTTTTTTTTCTTTTGCCTTTGGCGATATGATTTGCCTCAATCTCAGGTGGTGAATACGGGAGTGAGGACGTTTATTCGTCAGGATTCCAACTCGCCTGCACAATGTACATTCAGGATTCATAATGAGGGTATTGCCATGATGCGCCAGTTTGTTTCAGACGCACGTGTGATGGCTGTTCAACTCAAGGAAGTTATCACATTACTTCAAGCACCTTATCCCAAAATTTCAGAATTCCCAGAAAGTATTCAGGAACGTTTGACGGCTTTGCCTACAGGATGTTGCATCTTTGAATTTGATCCAGAATTGGAGGAGGACAAGGACCAGCCTAATCCTCGATGGGAAGGTCAGGGCCTTACTGGTTTTGTGAAGAGTAAATTAGTCTTCCCGGTTTGGAAGGCTCAAGTCAGTTTCAATATGTTACTGAATAAACAAGAGCGCCGGAGTCTTGCTATGCGATTGGGTGTTGATTGTGTGGATTCTCCTCATGTGGTTGAAGGTGGAGCCAAGGGTACAGCAGCCAAGGCAGCAGCAGCAGCAGCAACAACAACGAGTGATGCGGATGTTGATGTTGAGACATCGGCAGACTTATCGGCAGATGATTCACCGATGGTAGATCGGTACGAAGGAGCGCCAGCCTCAGGAAAAGAGGAAGAAGAGACTGCATAGCCTGCCTTACCGTGACATTGTATATTTTTACACTTTTACATGAGAGAAAGTTTGACTAGAATGGGACCTCTGATAAACAGCTCACATGCAACATACATAAAGACCTCATCAACCAACGTGAAATTTTACATTTTGTTTAGGACAGATAATACTGTATACGAATTATTCTTGATTACTATAGTCCATCGAGGAATATTTCTCGAAAGCTAGACTCTCAACCTCATTCATTTGTCTTCTAAACCTTTTAACTTTTGATAAGAATGCCTTACCTGTTGATGATAAAAATACGTTATCTACTGATAGTAAGCTGGAGACAAATAGCTCCTTCCAGTTGGATTGTTGAACTGTCTAGGCAAACATACAGAGTTGGCAATATGCTGCCGACTCCATGCAATCTTCGTGAAAACCATTGAATTGGCTTTGGGTGGCGCCGGCTTCCTTTTTCAAGCTAGCATGAGCTTAAACCAGAATCCCTTCCTCCTGTAGTCGGATACTGCATCATAAATCATTCTGGTACATCGTCTCCACTCCACCTTCTTCTGCCCTCTACTACTCCTGAATCTCCATGGGCTTGCGCTCTCCTGCTCTATCGCCTTGGAATCAATTGTTTTCTGCTTCATCTCCGCCACTAGAAAGATGGTGCTTTGACTCTAAGAGGTTGGCATATCAACACCTGTAAATGAGATGGATAATCATTGTAAAAGGCTCAAGAGAGGAGTGGGCAAGAGAGAGAAGAGGGAGAGCGACATCTTTTAACAACGCATGTTTATGTCTGTACACTCCCTTGAGCATTCTTAAGCAGATTTAACTTGCATCGCGTTGAATATTCATCCTTAGCCCGAACAGATGGAACCAAAAAAGAAAAAAAGTACTGCTGACTGCTGCAAGAAAAAAAAAAAAAAAAAACATTTACAACTACTAGCTTTTCAGATTCTTCTGAGGATCCATTTCCCTCTCTTGCCAAGAGCATGCATTGGTTCATGAGACTGCCACATTGTCCTGCCTGGATAGTGCTGGCTTTGTGTGGCATGCTGCTGTACCGAAGGATTGAGGACTGAGGAACTGAGAAACTGAGGAACTTGGGCGACGTGTGTGATGTATACAGAAGAAAAAAACAAAAGTGGTATTCTAGGTGATTGATCCCTGCTTTATCATCTGACTTCACAAACATTGTAATGACAAACAATTTAAAACAATTTCTGGAGCTGAATGGAATAAACTCGCTGAGCACTGCTAGACAGCGATAAAAAGAAGAGAGTGCTTCGTTCCTTAGTCCAGTCTTTCCCTTATCACGAGACCCTTGCTTCTTCATCTAGCGGCGCGCATCGTCTGTCCCTAGAAGCATACAGTCGTCATTGCCCACGATGAACCAACAATCTTCATTAGCCCATTATCCTATCCTATTATCCCATCCTCCCATTGTCAATACTTCTAATCAACTCTGACAGCTCGTCCGTCTCTTCGCTGGCCCAGACTTTTACAACAAGTTAAACTCCTGTTGCAAACCACACAGGACTCATTTCCCTGTTTGCCTTGCTGTACTTTCGACAGACAACCCTGTCTTCCTGCAGCCTAATGTAACCTACCTCAAGGCTTCCTAGGCCTAACTCAACTCAAAACAAGCTCATCCAGAACAAAGGCTGCTGCCATCCTGAAGTCTCACTCCAAATAGAGCATGGATGAATCTCCTTAGACAGGGTTCCTCTCCAAACATTGACTCCTGCGAGCGAGCCCCTTTGTCCTTTGTACCAACCTATTACAACAGACCTCTTCGAATTTGGTCTCGAAGCGTCTGCATCACCTTGATAGATTAAGACGGATCCAGATATAATGAATAAAAACAGTTTTCTCTGCTCTGACTTTCCTATACTTTATCTTGCTCAAAGCCAAAGTCCTTGATAGCACCAGCTTGCAGTATCCCTGTTCGACTGATCAATCAAAACAAGTAAACAGGCGATCTAAGGTTCCCTCTATGCTCTTTGCCTTGACCCTAATGGGCAGTAGAGTATGACCTTCAGTCTTACCACTTGATTGGAATGGTAGGATGAGAAGACTCGAGCTAAGCTTATAGTCCCAATACTGATCCTGGTCCTGCGCTGGCAGGCACTGAAGACTGTGGACATGAATGCAGGGAGGGAACAAGCTTATCATTCATGGTACAGCAATAGACATCTAAAAGAAGCTTAAGCAAAGTTCTAACAAAGGTAACCTTTGCTTCACTCATTTTGCGGAGCAGATTTAGCCTCATTCTATAACATACCCAGAAGTGAACTGTGCTCCGTCCACCACCGGACCTTCCAGCTTCTCCTGATCCAATCATCATTCCTTTGTCCTGATCAATCTCTAAAGAAAGTCTATTTCATATATCCGCATCCCCTTGCCCAAGCTCTTCTTTCTTTTTGATTACATCGTCCTGTCTCAATGCATCTTCCTACTGATCCTACCATCCTGCCCCAGCGCTTCTTTCTCCTCTTAATACTTTAGCTCTTGCCCTAGCCACCTTCGCTGTCATTCCTTTGTTTCCATCACTATCAAAAATGAGCTTGATAACTGCTTAACTGCTTGGCTTTCTGCCACAGGGGCTGCGATAAAAGACGATCTTTTATTAAGTGTGAGCTCTATTTTAAAGTGCGTAAGCTGTCTCGTACCGGTGTAGCTTTCATGGTCTTTCCCCGTGCTATTGGTAGCCCTTGGCAAAGGACGTGGCCCTAAAGCATATTCAACATCGCTCCATCCTCTCTTACATCCCTTACATCCCTTTACAGCATATTTCATTGTGTACAACATCCATGTTTCATATGGCGTTAGCCATCTGAGCCCACAGCGCTTACAGCAATTAGGCTTCGGCTCATAGTTTATGAGCCTCGCTGCTGTTATCTCAGAGATGAATGTAATAACCCCATCCACTTCTTCCACGCCATTAAAGACATGAGGTAAACTCTTTTTGCGTCCCCTCGATCACTAGGCGTATGATACTCATGGGATATACTCTAGTTCTACACTTTGAAAATACTGTCAATAAGCTCCTCATCTATAAAGCACAGCTCTGATAAACCAAATTACCTACGCTGCGCTCTCCCTTGCATCCTCCATCTGCCACCATATTACCATCCTCCAGTCTGACTTTTTTTTTTTAACTGTTAGAACCACACTAGCATTCGATTCCATCCTCAGCACTAATAGTCCGTAGTTCTACTATTACCTTTCTTTTTGATGTGACGTGATGCAGAAGCCTCTTCTGAAAGTAAAGCATCCTCCACTATGCTAATAACCCTTCTCTAAGCCAAGAAACATTCATTTCTACTATATATGCATCTCACTCTAACTCCTCTTCACCCTGCACTCTGCTTCCAGACGGAATGGACTGCGAAAAAAGAAAGCGCCTACAATCGAATATAAGGACTCCCAGCAAAGGAACTAGAAATAACCTCGTTCTTACTCTCCTTCGTTCCCTTTTCTTTTCTTTTCTTTTCATATGGGGTAACTTTGCTAGGAGTGAAGGACATAGAAAATATACTTGAGTTTCAACAAAAGTTCGGCTGCCATCGCTCCTTCATTTGTAGTTTTTATTCATGTACTCTTATCGTCTTGCCTGCCTTCTTTAAACGCTTTGTTATTTACTTCCACAATGAAGGTACATCTCACGGCATTGAATATATGATCTTATTGCTCTGAATTAAGGAGCGTAATATTACTATTATTATGTCAGCACCTGACCAGAGGGCTCGAGCTCCTGTACAAATCTCTCCACCTCTAGAAGTACCCTTACATGCGTACTATTTGCTGTTACCTGAGCGCTGGTGGTTTTAATCGCCATTCATCTACTGAGCGAAAGCTTTTTTAGTCCTACTCTTCACAATCTCCTACCGTTTTTTTTCTTATAACCAATACCCTCCTGTCTCCCACATACCCTATAGCATAACTTTCTCTTACTCTTTGGATTTTATTTCTCCCCTTATGTGGTGGCATGATATATAAACATCTCCTAGGAAACAAAACGGTCTTCCGACTTACTACAAAGCAGAGGACAGAGCGCCTGGCTAGGAAGTTATCATTTAACTCCGAAGGATTCTGCTCTGCCATGCATGCATCCATATGTCAGCTCATAAAAGAGAATAAAATAACCACTGTTACTATTCCTTGTTCTATTGTCTTCAACTGTCACAGACTTCTTCCTATGAGTTCATAACAGTACGGATGCGTTACCATAGCGCTCTAATATTAATGTCTGTTGGGTATTCGCCCCTCGATATAGTGAAATATTGTGCTCCCTCTAAAGCGGGCAGCTTTTCACTCCTCCTGCTCTTTTTGCTAGCCAGGCGTATTTTAGTTAAAAAGCGTAATACTAGTAGCATACAATAATTTTACTGCAGGGCTCGAGATCCTTACCACAACTGTTTTTACCCTTGATAAGCTTGCTTATATGCTATATCTTCGCCATTATATCACACATAGCATGCTGAGTCGTCTTTTGTCAAGTTTAGGCTTTTCTCTATTCCTAACCATCACAAACTCTTTAGCATACTTTTTGTTCAATTCCTCCTTCCCCTAGGCTCGAATCAAGCCAAATTTTATTGTCTTTTTTGGCCAACGACATTTGACTTGCATGCTTAATTCGAACCTACCCTTCCCCGTCCTTTGTCGCCCCTTAATTTTATTTTATTTTTTTTAGTCTATAAAATTTTCCTTTTATGGGTATTGCCTTCTCTTTTATTACTTTCTTCGAACCCCTCCTTCTGCGCTCCTCAACAGATAGTTTTTCTACCTGTTCCTACCCTTCTATTGCTTGCCTTTTTTTTTTTTTTTTTTTTTCTTTATCTCTCATTTCTCTTTTTTTTTTTTTTTTTTTTTTTTTTGGTACACTTTGTTGTGTTTGCCAGGTTGTCATTGGTCGCTCCTCCATTACTACAGTATATAGCACTTCGATTCTTCCCTTTATTTTTCATTCATCGTTTTATTATTTACTTCTCTTTCTTCTTATTGTCTGTTGTTTCAAGCTA